GGGGGGACGCGGGCCCGCGCTGGTGGCACGGGGGGGCGGCGGCGCTAGCGGCGGCTCCTCCGCGTCCTGCTGCTCCGGGAAAGCGCTGCCTGCCGGCGGGCGAAGGCCAAGATGGATCCCAACAGGATCATCCAGGCGCTGAAGGGCACCATAGACCCCAAGCTGCGCGTCGCCGCCGAGAACGAGCTCAACCAGGTGAGGGGGGACCCGCGGGCGGCCCGCCCCACGCGCGGCACGGGGGCGTCCGGCCCCGCCGGCAGGGGCGGGGGGCGACTGCGCTCGGCGTCGGGGGCGGCCGCCCGCAGCGGGGCCGGGCCGGGCCGGGCCGGGCGGGTCGCTGCCCTCGCTCGGCGGTGACCGCGGTGCTGGGACTCCAGGGCAGGCGCTCCCGAGCGCGGCATCTCGGCGTGGCCGGGGCGCTGCCGCTCGGTGCTGGAAGGGATGACATTGATGTGGCCCTGCGCGGGTCGCGCCCTGGCGCTCACGGGACGGGCGGCAGTGACGCTCGGGGGCGCGTTCTGTCCCGTTCAGAACGGCAAGTGCGAGTTGGAGGAAGGCGCCTTAGGTTTCATGGGCAGTATGTGTCGTGGCATCCTACAGTTAATGATAGAATTACAGAATATGCGGAGTTGGAAGGAACCCGTCGGGATCATCGAGTCGAACTCCTGGCCCTGCTGCCCAGCACCATCCCCAAGAATCCCACCATGTGCCTGAGAGTGTTGTCAAACACTTGTAGAACTCTGTCAGCCTTGGTGCTGTGACCACTTCCCCGAGGAGCCTTTTCCAGTGCCCAACCACCCTCTGGGGGAAAAACCTTTTCCTAGAGCAGCGACAGTATGCACTGAATGAAACTATGACCCCAGCTTTGAACGTTTGAGAAAATAGAAAGTTCCCTTGCACAGCATTAATAGCACTTTAATCTCTATGCTTTGATGGAATATTTGATCAGTTCTCTTTGAGGGCTTGGGATTTTTTTGGTTGTGTTGCTGTGTTAAAAAAATAGTCAATGAGAATTGGTTGTCAGGAATTATGCTATTCAGGATTGCTCCTCCAGCTTAGTTTTATATTTAGGCAACTTAAAACTCCTTCTGAATTAGATATAGCTAATCCTTGCTTTAGCAGTTGGTAAATTCCTTTAGTAAATCAGTGGATTAAGTGCTGGACATTGAAAATGCTCTTGTGAATATTTGGATAAGGATGCAAGGCTTTTTCCCTCTTTTTGGCATAGTTACTTTAAAAATGCATCAGTATCTGTTTTTATCCCTACTGTTAAGGGCTGAGAGGGGAATGACAAATATTTGTCAGCAGCCTGTTGCACAGCAGTCTAAACAACAACACAAACTACTGCTACTACAGGGTTCTGTTCAGAACAAAGAGGCAGCTCCTGGGTTCCTGGGTCCTGCTCCTAATGCTGTCATCACCAGTAGTACTGGGAAGCTCAGGAACAGTCTTGACAGCCTTTTAAGACTGAGAGCTGTAAAATGTTCTAAGTTTAAGTGATGGATAGTGCAATTCTCATGAAAGACTCAGGTTTTAGATGCAAGAGTGCATGCAGACTTACTCAGAACAGGTTGAGATGCAGAATTTTCTTTGAAAATACTTGATGCGTTTTCTTTTTTCTAACTGTTATGAAGAATGAATCCTGGAATCGAGACATACTTACTGTTACTAGGTGAAGCATGATGTATCTGACATAACGTGCTGGTGCAGTGCTGGGTTTGACATGACTCTGGATGAGAGAAATAAAAGTGCTCCTGAGCAATGTTGCTCAGTGTGGGACTTTGACATCTTGAAGCTTTTTATTGCTTTTGAAGCAAGGCTTCAAAGCGACGTGTCAGACTTCCCTCCCGTGTATCTGATGGTAGTGTTGACATGTCCCTGTGTTCCTGCAAGTGCTGGAATCCAGGTGCTGTTTTAGCATTTGTCTTGTTCTAGCAAAGGGAACAGTCTACCAACCAAACAGAAAATTCTCTGTCAATAAGTACCCGAGGTGGTGATGGAGCCCCTGGCCAAACAGCACGGGAGTCACCTTTGTTCTGTGCCGTAGTTACAGGGATGCTGCTCTTGAGACAGGCTCGGGGGTGTTGAGGTAAAACTTGCCTGTGTTACCTCATCTGCAGTGTACACTGGCATTCAGCTTTGAATCCAGGTAGTGCCATGAGCTTCCCAGACACTGGAAATCCTACTGGTGCACCAAGACAGTACCTCCTCCGTGCTGTACCAGAACAGAGTCCTTTAGAACAATATCCTAATAGTCCTGACTCCAGTTTGCTTACAGTGTAGAGCACAGGGAATAGAGTTTACATGAATAAAAGCTTTTCTAAGTGTAAGTAGTCCCAACATATTTGAAAATGCTTCTTTCTCCTCTGTATGTTCCTGCACTGCGTAAAGATACACACGAATCAATGAATTTGCTGTCTGCCTTCTGGATTATCACCTAACTGCATTCAGAAATGGAATTTGGATTCCTTTTTTTTTTTTTGGTCCTTTTTTTATCTATTAGAAGGCTACTTGTGAATTTTCTTCCTCTTGCAGCTAGAAACAAGTGTTGGTTTTCAGCCAAAATTGGTTTATGGTCAATTTATATCCATTTGTGACAATCTTACTTCAGGTTTCTTGGTACCCTCTCTGACAGATTTGTCAGAGGCTGGTCCCCTAGAAGCCTGTTTTTTTAGCCTCAGCAGGCTGTGTTTCCTTTGCCATATCATAAAACTGAATTTATGAAATCTAGTAATAGGAGCACAGCTCTTCTCTGCACTGGTTTCCCTTTGAAATAATCCTTCTTGTGGAGTCTGGTCATTTGTGTTTGTAATGTTCCAGAAAGTCTTGTGCTCAAAGCTGCTAATACCTCGTTAAATACTAAATCTACAATTATCTTCTTTGTGTCCAACATCTACATGTTTCTTATCACTCAATATACCAAAGTTCCTTGATCATGTTATTCTGTTGTTCTTCACTCACAAACCTCCAGTTTTTAGCAGAAGTTCTGTCATCCTTGAGTACCTGACCATGTACTTTGGCCTCCTACCCAACTCCATTTTTGTTGGTGCAGTTCTATAGATCATTCAGTTCTTAGTAGGATTTTTCTGATCTTTCTCCTTGGTTGATGCTACTTTGAAATCATTAACAAACTTCACTTCTCTCTGTGATCTGAACACAAATATAAGTGTGGGATTTATTTGATATCTGATTCTTGCTAAACTAGAGCAGTTTCCTGCCAAGTCAGTGTCTATCTCATGTAATTGCTGCCATTTCCTTTTTAGCCTCTTGGGTTTCTAAGCGTACATGTCTTTCCTTCCCCCTCTTTTTCTTTTGGCCTCCTGCCCTGCCTTTTTTTAGTTCAGCTCTGTAATGTAATTAGAGTGCACTTGATGATGATACTTATCACTCACACCGTACTTAGTAGAAAGGTTTGTTATCATACCAAGGAATAGACTCAGTTTTGTGCATCATTTGTCAGTATCTGTTCCAGGCTATTACTCCTGTTACATCTGTCTTGTGGACTTCAAGGACTTTTGCTAGGTTCATTTATTTATTTATGTTATGGTTATATACTGCTTTCATGTGCCAGTTCTTAGAGTGCTGTGAAATATACTTTACTGAACATACAGAGTCATTGTAATTCTAGTTCAGATAGGAATGTGTTACAGCATGTTGGGCCACTGAAGATTCACTAATCTTCAGTGGCCCAACATGCTGTAACACATTCCTTTGGCCTGTAGCAAAGGAGAAAACAAGAACTCAATTGCAGAAATACAGTTGGGCTTTTAAAATACTGAGTAGGAGTTACATAATTTGGCTTTGACAGCAACTGAGTAGTAGTGCTGGAAGAAGTGTGAAAAGATTACCCAAAAGCAGAAGAATCCAGAATAAAGTTTGGCTTCCTTCCATATCTTTCCACATCTTTGTTGAGCTGGCTGCTATAGTAGGCAGGGATCTTAAGGCCATTCTGTAAGTGCCAGTGAGCACTTCATGGTACCTAGAGGGAGAAATCTGAAACCAATTTGATGAGGAAGTTGATTTGGATAATCAAAAGTTATGTGGAGAGTGAAGTTGCTTTGATACTGGATGAATTTGGCAGCAGAACCCATACAGGAAAGAAATTCAGGTGGGTTCTTACACAAGCTTATTTTCACTCTGTGTGGAAACAGTGTGTTTCCCCCTCCCTACATAGTATCTTTGCATATAGGCAGGGAAAGAAAAAAAGTATCTTTTGAAGTTCTGGTATGTTTTAACAACTGTCTCTGACTGACAGCGTAAAAAAACAAGAGTGAAAATGTTATTAACAACTGCAGAAATACTCCTAAGTTTACCAGTGGAATTTCTAAGTATACATTTTTAGTACACAGAAACAGAAAATAAGACTTGATAAACCAGGTAGCTGAGCATTTGGATCAGATGTGTTTAAGCCTTGAAATTATCTTTGTAAAAAGTTCATTTTTCATTAATTCAAGGTACAAATTTCTTTTATGTGTTTGTTTTTGCAAACAAAGATGCAGCGCCTTGTTTTTTCAGTGTTTATGTGCCATACTTGTATTCAGAGGTACAAAAATGGTGTTTACTGCTGGTGGAGAAGGATGATCTGGGCTTGCAGAATGTGATGGAAGGCTTCTGGATTTCCCATATCCATTGTCCTAGGGTGTCCTGATGTTTTGCAGGGGAAGGAGCACCTTTCAGTGCCATTCTGCACTCAGGCACTGTGGTTGCCATCAGTACAGTGGGCGGGTTACTGTCTCTTGTGGTTCTGGAGCAGTTATGGTCTTTGAATGTGACAGCAAGCAAGACACAAGAATAATGCTTTATGAAATGAGTTTAGCAGTGTATGATGTGTGAGAACCTGGGAGCCAAATATGAGCATTAGATATGAGAAGTATTTGCTTCAGTAGGATCCATTTGGGGAGATTTTAATGTATTTTTTGCTCTCCTTGTATTCTGGCCCTTTACAAGTGATGGTCTTCATCTTGATGTTTTTCAGTGGCCCATCTGAGGCTTGCTTGTCTGTCATATGTTCTGTACCTAATCAAATGGAAGAGGGGATAGGCAGAAAAAGATGTGTTCTCTCATCTTTTGAAGCCTGGAGCTGTGATAGTGATGCAGGGAAGGATTCATCAGGCCAAAGGTGAAGGAACCGAGTGCAAAAAGCTGTGCAGCTGCAGTGCACAGATCCTGAGACAGTAGACACAGATGGAACAACACATATGGGTCATATGCATCTCTTCTCCTCTGCTGTAAATTTACCCAGTTATGCCTTCCCACTGCTGTATGCCTCTCCCAGTATAGCTGCTAGCCTTGCACACTGCTGTATCCCATCCTCTTAATCCCAGTGGAAATTAAGTGCGATTCTCTTTTAAGATAAATGCTCTGATCTGGGATTTATGCAAGAACAGTCTGTATGTGTTTTACACAGCTTTAAAATAATAACTCTTTGTAAGTACTCAGTGAAAGTTTGCTTTTCAAAAACTTTCTCTTTCAAAATAAACGTGTGCCCCAGTGGATCAGCACTTTCACAAGAAGTTTTACCAGATCCCAGCAACGTGGGTTCAAGGCAGTGTAATTATTCACCCAGTGCACAAAGCAACGTGCTGTGTTGTGGGAGTTGTGCTGAAGGTCTGTTTCAGCCATCTGGTGCCTCCCTGCGGCTCCTGGGCATGGCTCTTCAAAATCAGCAGATAGTTTTGTGCTCCTGTGGCACTGACACTATTTCTGCTCTCCTTTTGTTAAGGTGCAGCTGCAGTGATACAAAGAACTGTCTTTTTGAACTCATCTAGCTCCAAACTCTCTTCTGTGTCTATTTCCATGTCACAGTATACACCTGACAATTGCTCTGCACCTGCTCCTATGATAGGTCCAGCTTTGTTTGCTGATGTCCGGAGCAACGCAGGGAAGGGACACATCCCAAGATCACAATTAGCATGACAACTAAACCGATGAGAATGTGCTGGTATAGGAAAAATGTTGCTGCATGCAGCTTTTTAAAAAGTCCTCTGTTCTAAAAACTGCAAACAGCGTGTAGTTTTCCTGACCTGGGTTTGTTGCTGCACAAATGAGCAGGATGTAATTTGAGCTTCACAAATACAACAGAATCGTGTGTCTTGTTTCTAATGTGGGCTCATGGTCTCTGTTGATCCCCACAGTCTTCTTGTTTCTGATAATAGTAGTAAACAGAGCTATGTAAAAATCTAAATTATGGGCACGACAATAGAAGGGAACAGAAGGATTTCATGGGCCTGGTGATCTCTGTAGGGGTGGTGGTGTGTGAAATGTAAAGACACGCACATAGCGCTGTGCTGGTGGGGTGAGACCCCCTCGGGGACACTGTGGCTTCCTTTGTCACTCCGGGTGCTTGCTGACTGGGTCTGGCACGGAGGCAAATAACCATATTTGTGTAGATCCTGGCAAAACTTCAGGGAGAGCAGTTGTGCACCAGCACAAGTAGTACTCATAAAGCTTCCTGAACTAGCAGTGATTTTAATGTAGATTCAGTAAAAACTGTTGGGACAAGGAAAGGGAAATAATATTGTTAGCACTGTGTCCAGCCTAGATGTGGTAGGATTGCAGCAGGAAGCCATCACCAACAAAACAACATTTTGCAAAAGCTGCATTTTTAATTGGTGTGTTTATAGTAGTAAAAGCTTTGTAGAGTGGGTCTGAGAACAGTGTACAGGACTGTTGAGAACAAAAAGGATGGTTAGAGTTCATGCATGGTTTTGGGTTTCTGTGCTGCTGCGATTTCTCGTGCTTTCCTTATCTCCATGCAGCTTGGGTGTTGAGTGCTGGAGGATGCTGCACTCGACTGTGGCCCTGTCAGAACACACCAATGTTGTCCAGTAGTGACTGAAGGGCAAGATTTGTACTCCAGGCTGCTGGATTAAAAGGTGATCCTTGGAATCCAGTATGCTTCAACAAGTTCACCATGTCTGTAGATAAATGGAATTCCTGTGCTGGATGTTTCAGCTGTTACTTTATTGGGAACGTTTCTTAGGGATAATTAAAGTTTATAGAGAAGGAAATTGCAGGAGAGTATGCTTTTGATTTGCCACTACTGCTTTTATCTCAGATCTCAGATTACTCTATAAACATCAAATGAGTCTCTGAGATAGAATTACACTATCATTATAGTGAATAAAATGAGGGCCAGAAAGTTAAGTGATTTGGTGAAATTATTGAATGTTAGTGTCGCGATGCAGCTGGGACACTTAGACATCATGAAAGCAGTGTAATTTCATCTTGTTATGGATATGGTAGATCAAAGAACTGGGGACATGAAGAGCAGAAAGTGTCTTTTATTTCACAGCTTTTGAATGAGGCAGAGTTCTATAGGAGGATGTTCAATACTTGGGCTTTAAGCACAACTCTGGGAGCAACCACAGAACTGCCAGGCATAATCTAGTGGGAAGAAATACTATAAAAGGTGAAATACAGAAAGCTGCTGCCATCTAGCCCCAAGAAACCCCTCTCTTTGAACGTAAAACACATGGATCCAAGGGATGAAAGATCTGACCTACCAGTAGTCATCTGCCAAAGCTTAGTAGTAACTGCACCACGCTGGGTCAGCGATTCCTCACTGGAGGAGCCCTGGTGGATGGCAGCAGGATAATGCTATCAGATTGTCACATCTTTTAAATCTGGTGTGCTTTGCTTAGAAGTTCACTGAGCATTGTTTTCTCTTTGAAATTCTTCAGCTGCATGGCTGCATGGCAAAAGTGTTTGAAAAGTTCCCATGGAGGCTGTGGGTTTTGAAGTGTTGTCTGCCTACACTTGATTTTAATTGGAAATGTTTGTCCCACTGTTTTCCCAGTTTTTATTAAGATGCACTATGCATCTAGTTTGCTAAAAGATAATTGTATATGGTGAATGCAGATGCTGTTTACACTTGAAAACAATTCTAAATGATTTTTTAAAATCTCTTCGCTATTGCTGTTTTACCACAAACTATTTTGCTAATAAGTGCCATGTATTGGTGAAGCTTGTCAATGTCCGTTTGACTTACGGGGCTAAGTTGAGTAATTCAAAGACAGATATCTAGTATTTTTCACTATGTATTCTTAGAATTATTTAAATATTTATTGTCACTAATCTGTAATTGAGAACCTTTTCTTATTGGTGTATAATATATATACCAATATATATATAATTACTTATTCCACCCATGTGCAATGCTTTGCTTTTACAAGTAAGTATTTGGATTTCTGCAGGTCTGGGTAAATTCAAGTCCTGAAACCTTTCATACATCATGAGGAGGTTGCAAAAGCAGTGCAAAATCCTTAGTTTGTATTCCTCATTCAGCATTTGCTAATACAGTCTACTTAGTGACTTAACTAACTGTGTTGTCTGTGTATTTCAGTCCTATAAGATCATCAACTTTGCTCCAAGTCTGCTGCAAATCATAGTATCCGATCAAGTTGAATTTCCGGTGCGTCAAGCAGGTGAGATGAAATCCCTTGTTCTATTTTCCTTCAGTCAGTCTGTCCCTTGAACAGACTCTTGAACTGTTGCTGTTTAAGTCAGTTCAGGTTTGTTCTGGGGAGGAAATGAAAGGGATCTATCTTTGCTCTTTCTTTCCCTCATGAGGGTCAGATGAAACCATGGGTATAGGATAGAGTCCTACTTCAGCTTTCCCTGTGTGTATAGTGATCCCTACTGGATTGCTGTGATACTGATAAGAAAAAAGCATGATTTCTACTCAAAACTGAGAACCCTTAGGTACTATTTCTCCTGGTGGTGCAGAAGTAATGATGCCAAGACAAGTGTGAATTTAAAAATAGAAAAGGGTATCGCATTTGAGTGCTTGTTTCTCTATTTGAATCTCTTTCCTCTGGAAAAGTGAAAATTTCTGAAAAAGGGAAATCACTCCTTAATTCACAGATCAAGGGTAGCCACAAACATTTAGTCAGTATCTTGGTGACTTAAATAAATAGATATGAAGGAAGGTCCCATCACAGATAAGTTGAACAGTTACAGTCTGAGCATGTCTGGAATGATTGCTCAGCTGTGTGTGTGAGTTCAGGTATAGTGGTGTAGTTAACTTCAGTGTATGCATTTGTGGAAGATCAGATTCTAAATTCTCATAATTCATTTTAACTACTCCTGTGTAATATGTTTGTCAGATACAGAGACTGTTCAGGTCTTTCAGTAAATTAATTAATACTGTTTCATTCACAGCTTTGTTTTTATCCTGTGGAACAGCATTTCCCATAGAAGCACTGTTGGGGTTTTTTTTTTTACAGATCCCATTAATCCCCTGAGTGCTTTGGAGCATGCTGACATATTCTGTTTGTCATGCTGGCCTTTATTTTTTCAAAGATAATCCAACTTTGAATGGTGTTGTTAGTCCATTCTGTAGTAAAGTTTGAGGCTTAATCTAAACTCCATAAGGTCATTTTTATAAATTAATCTCTCATTTCAGTACCATTCAGGGGAAAAAACAACTATGTAGAATGTTGGTTTTTTTTTTTACAGAATAGGGGTGTAAAATGGAAAAGCACATTTAAGTCATATTTGCAAGCCAACAGACTTCCCTGGGAATTTTTTAAAGCCAAAAATTTGTATAACAACAAGATCTATGGACAAAATAAATTAAAGTCTTGGGCTGGTCTTTCAGGACCTGTTTCTTGTCTGTCTAGTCTGGCGTGTCATAGACAAAGAGTTTTTTTTCCTCTTGCTCCTATAAAATATTTTACAGACTACATGTTTTCATGCTTTGCAATTTCTTATCACCAAAAGAAATGATTGTACCCAAGGATATCTTATTTCTACTTTAAAACTCTAGCTAGTAATCAACCAAAACAGTGTCCAGGCATAAGAGTTTATTAAGAACATTCCTTTAGTGCCTCATACCATATTTCTTATGTTTCCTGAAGAACGCCTTCAGACATTTTAGTACTGATGCATAAATGCTGCTTTATTTTCTGATGAAGATTAACTTTATTTTTCTTGGTTTTTTCATGTGAGACAGAAGGGAACAATTCGAAGGTATTATGGGACATCCTAATGGTAAAATAAAGCTTAGGGAATTCACAACAAACATTTCTGTCTGAATAGAAGGTAGGCCATGTGCCAGTTTCATACTGGGCATTTCCCCAAGCAGAGTGTCCCATCTGTGTGTGCAGTGATTTGTTTACACGACCCTTCCAAAACTACACTTGCTGAGCTTGAGTTGTTGTTTTAGGAATGAGTGAAAACACACATAAGTAGATTTTTGTTGGCTTGTTTAGAATGATGGGATATTATTTTCATAAGGAAGACTGCTGTAGTAAAAATGGACCTTGATAGATGCTGATGGAAGTATTATCCTGGTCTGTTCTGATCAGGTGCTTGAGCCTGATCTTGTGTGAAATCATAAGAAAAATGTTTCTCTGATTCAGCTGTGCTCAGTGCCCATAATTATTAAGAATTCATGTGGTGGTTTTCAGTTGCCTTTTCAACTCTTTGTTCTACTTTTAGCCATTCTACACATTGAGCACTGGGCAATGTGTAGAATTAAACTATTCTTTCCCCACTGTCTGTCCTTAGCTGCCATTTACCTGAAGAACATGGTGACCCAGTACTGGCCGGACCGTGAGCCACCTCCTGGAGAAGCGGTTTTCCCATTTAATATTCATGAAAATGATCGGCAGCAGATTCGGGATAACATTGTAGAAGGAATAATTCGTTCTCCTGACTTAGTGAGGTACCTTACATTGCACAGATATGTTTGCTCAGGTTTTCAGACCTGCCAGTCTGATGCTGTAAACGTGAGAATCTCGATGTTTTGGAAGATGAGACAAGTACTTTTTTTGCCAAAGTAATAATAATCTGTTTACACTTATTCATGTGTGTCTTTCAGAAAAGTAGTAACCTGGCAGTGAGCCCTGTGATGCGGTTTATCCTCTAAGGGTGTTGTTCAAAGTGTCTTGTTACACTTGCTGCAGTAACAGCCTGTCTGTTTGGCTGATTCAAGGCAGATAGTATATACAGGGCTGTCTGCAATATGGAATTAATCATTCAGGGAAATACTGTCCAAGATTCTTTTTTTCTAGTAGCTCTTTTCTTAATTACTTTATCAATTTTTATATGTAACCTGAGTATTTAACTATGTATTTAGCGTTATTGGTTTTAAGGTATTAAAAGAATGAAGAATTATGGTTCTGCTTTTGCTGAAGAATAGTTAAAAATCACAGACAAACTACAGTTAGGATTTTTCACCCCTTTAATTAAAGTGAGGCTGATAGGATGGGAACTGATATTTTCTGCAAGCTTTGTTTTTTCATTGCCTAGCAGAACTAAAAGTATTTCTCCATGGGTTTTAGTTCAATGCTGCTCAGCTTTTTTAGTCACACCTCAGTTTAGTCAGTCAACAGTTCTGCCTTGCCCCGCCATTGTGAGTGGCATCTAAAAGTGTGTGGCAGGAGAGAAACAGTAAGATGTTGTTTAACTAATTGGCTCTGCCATATGCTTTGGAGGTTGAGAAAGTGCTGTTCTAAAAGGTCCCAGGAAAACTGTAATTTCTTGAGGAGCCTGTGGTTGGATCATAACACAGGCCATTATTCTTTAATGAAAACATACAAATTTGTGTTTTTGTGGTTGCTTTCAGCTTGATAAGCAAGTATAAACATTCATTGTCAAAGCACAAAGCTAGCTGGTTCCATGAGCAAGTAATTCTTTTAAAATACTGATTGATACATGTGAAGAGGGGGGGAGAAAAGTAGCTAAAATGTTCTGAAATTAGTTTATTCTTTCAAGTTAAATCCAGTCGGATTTTTTTCTTGCTTCTCCTCTGCTACTTCCCAGAACTTTTTCAGTGCTGTCAAAATATATTTGATGCTTATGACATAATATAGGTATTGTAGCAAATAAACCAAGATTTGGGAATTATCCTTTAATTTAAACACTATGCTATGACCTTATTCACTTACATTTTTTTTTCTCTCCCTGCACCAGAGCTCAGCTGACAATGTGCCTCCGTGCTATCATTAAGCATGACTTCCCTGGCCATTGGACAGCTGTGGTAGACAAGATAGGATACTACCTGCAGTCTCCAAACAGTGGGAACTGGCTTGGGAGCCTCCTGTGCCTCTATCAGCTGGTGAAGACTTATGAGTAAGTTGATGTCCATCAGTAGATGAGGAATTGGTACTTTCAGTCTAAGTTGATTACTGAAAATGACATTCTTAAGAGCACTGGCAGTTCTACAAGGGAATTCAGATAGAAAATGGGAACTAATAATTATCATGTGTTTCCTTTCCTGCAAATAAATGAAAAATATTCATCATCTTTGTATCATTAGTGAATTGAAAGCAGAGCTGCCAGCAATAATCTGTATGAATTTACTGCAACTTTTTTCTTGAGACTTTATACTTTTGATCTGGGTGTAAAAAAAAATCCTTAGGATTGTAACTTTATTTGTTTGAAGATACCCCAAATTCTAGATGTATGAATGCAAATTATTTTCTGCTTTTATGTCATGAATACAGTGCTGTTATTGTCACATACTGCTATTGCATATTGTTACCTGTAGCATCTTCCTGGTAGTCTAAATCCACAAAGCATAAATTAGGAGCAGTGTAGTGGGGCTTATCACTCATACCTTTAATTGCCTATTATTAGAAACATATGTATAAACCACACAAAAGGAATGCAAATGGAGAAAGAGAATCTTTTCCAAAGCAAGGAATTGTCTTTCCCTTTCAATGACTGTTCACTTCCATTTGTTCAGCACACCAACTTCATTGGTATGAACAGCAGAGAAATTCAAATCCATGCTCCAGTGAGGTGACAATTCAGTAGTAAAGAATGATAGTTCTTCCTCTCAGTAACTGCCTTTGTGTAAGGCAATGTTTATTGTTTTCCATTTTTTCATTTATAGGTATTTTTAGTGAATTTGCACAAAGGGTTCAGATGGGGGTTAGAGGAGGAGAGAGTGATTGAGTGTGTGCTGGATATTATTTTTTTGGTTTTTTTAGGGCACCAAAATTAAATTGTTGGTGGGGAATAGGCATTAGAATCACCATTGTGTAGACCCTGGACCAACATTTTTGTTTCCATTGCAGGTACAAAAAGGCAGAGGAACGAGATCCCCTCATAGCAGCCATGCAAATATTTTTGCCTCGGATTCAGCAGCAGATGATCCAGCTTCTGCCTGATAACTCCCATTACTCTGTACTGCTTCAGAAACAAATCTTAAAAATCTTCTATGCTCTTGTTCAGGTTAGCATCTGTGTAGAGGAAAACCAAACTTTTACTTTGCTCAGCACAATGACCTCTTTTCAGTACATTCAGAGGTGTGATTGAATAAGAATACCATTTTGGATGGAAAAAGTCACGTACAATAAACAGCTGTTATAGAAATAGGATATTTATAGATTTTTCTGCTTTGAAACTAGTCACATCATCACCCAGATTAAATTTTTAATGAATGTAGGGTGCTTTTGCACATTGTATCTGTAATCTCACTAGAGAAGTGCTCCTATTTCTATGAAGTTGCACATAGACTGATACAAACTACGTATCTAGACCATGTGGTTGGCCTCTGAAAGTGTCAGTAATGAATATTGTAGTGTAATTGTCAAATATTGCACTTCACTAGGAGGCATTTCTCATTACCTGCTGAAAATCTGGCAGACACAATGTATTAAGGCACATGCACTTCAGAGAGATGAGTTTGGCTTTTACTGAGATGAGTTTTGTGAAAGAGTGCTGACAATCAGAAACCAAACCAGGTCCTTCATGAGGAGCAGCCTGAAAATTCTTAGTGCGTGTTGAAAAACTAAAATAGTTTGTTACTAAGTGGATGGAGAATTTAAAAATACCAAGATCCTATTTTTCTTTTCAGTAACTTGGCTGAATATCGTTACTTTTCTTTGGATTTTGTAGAGAAGTGAGGTTTATGGGATAGTAGGTAGGTAGCAGTAGTGAATCACAGAATGACCAGGTTGAAGAGACTTTCAAGATCATTGAGTCCAGCCCATGCCCTGACACCTCAACTAAACCATGGCACTGAGTGCCACATCGAATCCTTTTTTAAACATATCCAGGGGTGGTGACTTCACCACCTCCCTGGGCAGGCCATTCCAGAACTTTATCACTCTTTCCATAAAAAACTTGTTCCTAATATCCAACCTATATTCCCCTTGGTGCAGCTTGTGTCCTCTGGTTCTGTCAGTGGTGAGTACATTTTGCTTGCTAAAATGCTATTAGTTTGCCAAAGCCCTTTAATACTGATACTGCTGTAATCCTAAAAAGTACCTGGGCTGTTGCAAAGAAGAAAAACAGTTGTCAAGCTCTTAGACTGAGGAACTTTCCTCAGATTATGTCTGCTCAGAAATTCCTTTTCAAGTTGTACCAAGAAAGTAGTGTTGATGTGTAACCTAATTGGTTTTAATTTTATTAAACCCTTATCTTCCTTAGAATGTAACTGCTGCAGAAAGATCTGCCTTTTACAGTGAAATATAGTATTTCATGCCTGTGTTTTTTCCCTTATTGCAGTATGCATTGCCCCTCCAGTTGGTGAATAACCAGACTATGACTCAGTGGATGGAGATCTTCCGGACCATCATTGATAGAAATGTACCACTGGTGAGTTCTGGCTTTGTAAAGACCTCTGAAACTTGTGTGTTGGCATTTGAGGAACAGTCAGTGTAAAGATTTTCTAAGTGTTCTTTTCTTAAGATTCTTATCCTTGGATTTTTGAGCCAGAGTGATGTAGTATTCAAGTGTATCTGAGAATTTGCATTTCTTAAATATGCATAATTTTGAAATTAAGGTACAGGCATTGTGCAGGTATTGCACATACACATTATACAACCTAATTAATATAACTGAAAATTCCTGAATATCATGTAACTGTTAACAGAATCAAAGCTTTAGTCCATGCTGTGTGTTTGTATTAGTTTACTTAGCAAGGAATATTTAAAGCATAATTGCTTCTCAACAAATGATGTAACTAATTAAAAATAAATGTATTTGTTTGTAGGAGACTTTGCAAATTGATGAAGATGACAGACCAGAGCTGGTGTGGTGGAAATGCAAGAAGTGGGCATTGCATATTGTAGCTCGTCTCTTTGAACGGTAACTGATTAAAAGCTAAATTTGGGTTACAAGTCTGTGCCATTACTTGGCATGCAAGTAGAGATGACAGTTTGATCAATTTAACAGCTCCTGGTCGCTGAAGAGGTTTTCCTGCTGCTGTCCTCTGCCTTGCACTGGCACAACTGCTGGTCTCAGCACTTAGTGAAATGATTTGATTCCCTTAAGATGGCAAGAAACTTGCCCCACAGGAAAAGCAAATCTATCTAACTACATATTTATTTTAATACACTCAGCTACAAGTGTTTATATTCTCAAACATAAAGGCAGGGGAAGATTTGAAAAGAAATCCATAAACATGGAAGTTACAGAGCTTGCAACAAAAAAGCCGTGTTTACTTGAGTGTAATAATTACCCTGGGATAATTTAAGAAAAGGGAAGTGGGAAAGGATGGCTTAGAAGGAACCTGTGGTAAATTTTTCCTTTGCGGATGCAAGACCACCCAGGTTCCTGTATGGTTTAGGAAGTACTATATTTTCCTGACGCCATAGACTTCTCATAGTGTAAACATCTGTGCCCTTTTCCTTTTAAAGATATGGAAGTCCTGGAAATGTAACTAAAGAATACTTTGAATTCTCAGACTTCTTTTTAAAAACCTATGCTGTGGGCATACAACAGGTAAGCACTGTTCATTTTTTATGAATTGCATTATTTTGACTGAAGAAATTTATTACTTTTTAACAGTGTGCTTGTGTCGAGGTTCATTTATTGAACAAAAATGATGAGAGTCTGTGAGGTTTTCCTTGTAGTGACTGAAAAATTCTTTAGAACTCAGTGCCATACAGCTGAGGTATAATAACACAATTTTTCAGCAACTCAAAAAACACTGCAGGAAAACTCTCAGAAAAGGTGAGTGCTGATAAAATGGTATTATTGTCATGTGTAAGCACTCTAGATAAAACTGAGAGGAACACTTTTGGTGCAGAGGCCTCATTTCACAGAAGGGTGTATTTTCAGGCCTGTCTTTCTCAAGTGCTTTTGCTGCAAACTTAGGCACACAATCCAATGACAGTGTTTTATTTCAGGAAGATACAAGCAGATTAGAAGATGTCTGGAGAACAGCAATGAACATTATTTTATTCCTGGAAAGCATATTATGTGAAAATATAACCTAAATGCACCGTTTGCAAGGAAATTATTTTTGTTAGGAATGCTAATTATTTGTGTTTAACATGGTGTGTGGAGACAATTCAATTCTGATGAAGTTGCTAAACAAAATTACTCTACTTCATCCAGTCTGACAACAGACTAGTTTATCCATCAGGAAGAACTAAGGAAGGGGGGCGGTTGTGGTAAGGCTGTAAATTAAATGAAAAGGGAAGTAGCCTAATATCTTTTCTAAATTCCTTGCAATGTGTAACTCCTGAGCAGAAAAACAGACTCCCATGGGCAGTTATAATTTGAAATACTTAAAGTTTGTCTGTTAAGGTATTAAACTGTGTTGCAGAGGGAACAGTTTAGCTTTCAAGATAAATGTGCTGGATGATGTGCACATTTCTTCAATTTCTGGCTCTTAAATAGTGATTTATCATTATTCCTTGCAGAGTTAGTAAGAATTCTGTTGTGAATATTACATGACTAAGCCTTTGTTACCTATTCATCAGTTGATAAGTGCTGACATTGTGCTAGAGTCTGTATAAGATATAGACAGTTCTTGTCCTTGGAGCATTTCATATAAAAGATTTAATATCAAACTTAGTATTCCTAATGAAGGAGCTATATTCAAAATAAAATTTATTATAATGTTCTGAAGAATTATGAAGCAGAATTGTTCTGCTGAAAGCATATGACTCAAAATTTTGTTATGCATTGCTCTTGACTTTTATTGTTATTCATGTATATGCCACTTCTTTACACTTACTAATAATTCACCTGCCATTGGTGCAGAGTAGTAGCTTTGTACTGTGTTTTGTTTTTTTTTCAGTAGAGGAAACTTTTGTACCAAAGAAGCTTTGTGTGATAGAGTTTGTAGTAATATGCCAGGTGATACTATCTGATGGCTACAATAGGTCATTGAAGTTAAGGGGTTTGCAGCTCTTCTGATTCAGAGGCTTAGGTGAACCTATTTTTCTTTCCTGGTTTAGTATTTCTATTCTCTTCACTGTTCTTCCAGAGTAATTTGTCTTTTTTAGGGACTTGTCATTAAATATGAATGCAGACACCACTTAGCAAGTATAGCAGCCAGCAGTTTGAAAATCTCACTGTGCCTTTTCCTTACCTATTCCAGATTTTGCTGAGGCCTCTGTAAACTGTGAGCGTCTCACTATTGAAGTATATCTTTGGTTTATAATCACAAGTGATCACATGGTAGGGCTAGTAGTAAAGGTGGACATCTGCATAAATGTTTGCAGGATTAAAACCTTGATATTTAAATTATTTATGATTTTTGGATCAAAGGCATTATAATGATTTCTAATGCTAGAACATCTGCTGTAAAACTACTTTATCTGTTCATGTATATTCACTGAGGAAGTGCACTGCATGTTTATGCATGAGGCAGAATTTTCAGTCTTCATTTAAAAATAACAATTTGTCACTTCTTTAGGTTCTCTTAAGAATCTTAGACCAGTACAGGCAAAAAGACTATGTTGCACCACGTGTTCTTCAGCAAACATTGAATTATCTGAACCAAGGGGTGATTCACTCTATCACATGGAAGCAAATGAAGCCACACATACAGGTCAGTGCTTAAAATCCAGTCATAAAGAATGCATGTCATCAGAGGGATTAAAAAACACGCCCCAGACCCCCAGGTTTTGTGTTTTCAAAGAGGTTTCATGAATCATTCAGCAATTGATCTGGAAATAAAATAGCATTTCTACACAAATGTGGTTGTGTTTTGCAATATATGACTATCTTTTATTGCAGATAATGTTAACTCAATCAAAGATTCTGTTCCATAAGTTTTTTATTTGAAATTTTACAGTCTGCTAGAAAGTCATAGTGTTCTGGCTTTTATTAGTTACTGGTGTTCAGAATTGTCATAGATTTTTGATTGTATTGCAAAGATAGTGCACAAAGAGAACATTCATCTAAGACGAGCTAAACCCACTTTTATGGACATGTTTTATAAGTGAACTAAAGAACAAATGAAAAGTGATCTTCCTGCTCTTTTATTTTTTCATATCATAAGATCCCCTTTGTAGTTAGTTAATTCCATGACTATTAAGGGGAAGGACTCTGAAATCCATTCTCATGTTTAGTATTGCGTTGGTCTGATCCTTCTGCAGAATGTAATATTCTGCTGTGTACAGTCTACATCCTGAAGTGTATTTTGTGCATGGTAATGTAATATTATAAAGATAGATTGTATAACTACTGCTGCTGTCTGGGACTGTTTCAAAAAGAAAGTACCTATAGTACTGTGAATTTGTTTCTGGTAGACAAAATAAAAGAGTACTGCTTAGAGGAGTGCAACTCTCCAGACAAATAAGTCTAATCAATTAGTGCATGGTGGAGGGCTGCTGTACTGGAATTTGATTATATGTGTACTTACGTGTATTTGGCTTTTCTAAAATCAGACCATAACAGAAGAGGTGATATTCTCTCTAATGTGCTACAAAGATGAGGATGAGGAGCTCTGGCAAGAGGATCCATATGAATATATCCGCATGAAATTTGGTAATTTGTCTTTATTTTTTGCTTTCATCATAACTGTATCCTGTAGTTCCAGTAATCAGCATCCTACTGTAATGTCTCTCTTCACCTGAACAATGGGAAGAAGAAAACTTTTTTCTTAAATCTCACCAATCTGTAGTTAAAACCAGGTAGTAGATCAGGTGAGTTTGGGCTATGTGGCTGGTAGCTTTGATCTAAATGATTCTCTCAGAGTTTTTTCTACTTCGCTTGTGCTCAGACAGACTGGCTTGCTCCCTTGTTTAATGCCTGTTTCAGAACCCTGGCTTGCAGATGTGCCAGCTGTCTGCAGGTTCCTGCAGCTCTCACTTTGGCCAGAAGAGGCCTGACTTACTCTTTCCCTGTTGAAAATTGTCAATGCCTTCAACATTCTTCTGCACACTTATTACTACTCAATTGTAAGATAATTAGATATATATATTCCTTCAAAAGACACAGTGCAAAATCTTGGGAATAACACATAGGGCCATATTATAAATAATTACATTTATTAAAAGATTCATGTCATTGAAAAGGAGAAAGGTATTTTAAAAGTACAACAGTTTTAGCTGGAAAACTCCTGTGAGCCAGGCACCACAGAGATATATATGCAGCATTTGGGAAAATTTAATTAGTTGATTTGGGATTAGTGTATGTGAAAACAGAATTTAAATATTCATAGAATAATTTAAAAGCTTGGAGAGCTGTTATGCAACAAATTAATTACAATATAGTGTTGATCACTAGGGTATAAATACATCCTTGATATTTGGTGTGTGAATTCAGTTCTTTCTGTATAAGTAGTGAATCTTATTTTTATGTGTAGCTGAGGCAGTTAAATACAGATTCAGATTGTATCGTGGAAGGTAAAAAACCACTCAAAGTACATTACCCTCACTTATCAAAGTACATTAAATGAAATTTTTTTTTGAGGCACTTTTTTTGTTTGGAACAAGAATTCCAGTAGTCTGGCAGTATTTCCTAATGAAGTTTTATCTTAAAGTTTTCAGGAAAAGTTGGTGTGTAATTTGAGTCACATTTTAAGATAATGTTTTAAGATCTTTTAGTTTGATTTAATTTGTGTGGGGATGTTTGGATTAGAACATGTTTGCTGCACAGATCTTTTTTTTCCCAAGATATAAATTATACTTTCAACATGAACAGCAGAGGTTTAGTTGCAATGAATGAAACTAAAAAATTTGACCTTTCAGCAGATTTAAAACTGCTCCAGATCTAAGTAGATTTTATGTACAAAAGGTTTCCCATGAGGTTTTAATAAAATCAAGTCAAAAATGTGTACATGTGGTATACAGATGGTAGTGGAGTGCATTGTTGTTCTTCCTACAGGGGTTTTAATTAATAAAAGAGACAGGATTTTTCATCCCTTGTATATGGTCTCAAAAGAGTTAATGAATAAATAGAATATTCTTAATTAAGGGAAAGAAGAATGGCAGTGGATTTGGAAGGCAAGAAGTAAGGTGTGTGACATAAGCTTGGGTCTGACTCTTTAACCAGGAAGTGAAGACAATAATGTAAATAATTTTGAAGTTATATATTCATCCAGATTTTGTGATATCCCAAAACCAAGATGGTTTATAAAAAATTTATTATTCAGAAAATAAATTTTTTTATGCTCTTTTCTCCCCATTTTTTTAGATGTATTTGAGGACTATGCATCCACAACAACAGCAGCACAGAATCTCCTCTACACTGCTGCAAAGAAGAGAAAGGAGGTATGAAAGCAGTGGGTTTAAATTATTTGAATTTTTCTTAATAAAGTTGTTTTCCCCATGTATTTGAAGATGCTACAGGAAGCTAGTCTTGAAAAATATACTTGCTGCTACATAGTTAAATGTTTCCTGGCTGAATGCTGTCAATTTGGGGAGAGTTAAAATATGGTGTGTATAAATACTAAGTGGATTCTTCTTGCAGATTTAAAATGCATCTGCCAGGTACAAAATGGGTTGGAATAGATATATTGGAATAGATTTTTCCAGGTTTACAAACAGCCTCTGTCACAGCTGTTCTCAGCATCACAAACTGTAGCAGGAGGGAAAGTGGATCTGATCCTTATTAATTTTCACTGATGCTATTTAAAATTCTTAGCAGCAATGAAGTTAGCAAGCACAAAACCCATTCCATATAGTTACTCTGTAAATGAGGACATAACTTTTCTGTAGATCTTTCTGTATTTCCAGTAATCTCTACAAAAATACTCAGGCAAGCCCTAGAAAGCACAGTTGGCTACAATGGCAAATGTTTTTCTAGGCTCCATTTTAACGTCCAGTAATCATGGAGCTCCATTTCCAGATGGATTTTCAGAGGAGAACACAGTCTTTACATTAGGTGGAATAGGTGGAATATGACCTTTCTCCTTTTTTGTTGTCAAAACAGTTCTTGTCCACTGATCTTCCTTCTCATTTTCATAATTTGTATTTAGACCATCCCAGTGGCATGTAGGAAAAGGACATAATGGGTGTGGAAATCACATTCAGCCATTGGTTTTGCCAAGAAACTTTTCTAAGTGTACTCAAGTTCAGAAACTACTGCCAAAATCAATAGATCAAATTAAGTTTATGAGATTTTAGTCCAACCTCTCCTTGAAAATATATGTATGTATTTTAATAGATATGTGCTCACACACATATGTATTTATATTTATGTGTGAGACAAGCCTGAAAAGAAGAGAAAAAGTGGGCGAGGTGCTGTTTGAGCCTTTTGCCTTTTCATCACTTTTTTTTATTTTCTTCAAGACGGTGACAAAAATACCTTACTGCTATTAGTCGTGAGAAATTTCATGGAGATTAATCTAATTTTGACCAGTTTGGCTGAAAAGTTGAAAAAAGTTTTACGCTTTAACTATTGAAAGATGCTACATTTAGTACCTCACATTGCTCTAGCCAAGACAAAATTTTTTCTTGAAAATGTCATAGGAATTTTTTCAACAATGCTATTAAAATAACTTGACTAAAGGGCATTGTATGTTTTCTGTCTTGCACAGGTATTGCCAAAAATGATGGCATATTGCTACCAGATTCTGACAGAGCCAAACATTGATCCAAGGAAAAAAGATGGAGCTTTACATGTTATAGGATCCCTGGCAGATATTTTACTGAAGGTAAGTGGGTAAAGAAATGAAAAAGTTTGTAATTCTTGCTATGAAATCAGCTATGATTTAAAATAAAATAGTCTTTATAAAGTATGACTAGCCCTTAACCATATTTATAAAAATCTGTAGAGAGTTGCACTCTGGTTGCAATCAGAATATGAGAGTCTGTTTATTAAAAAATCTTAACATTCTTTCCTGTTTTTTTAATCACAGTTTTATACACAGATTTTTCCTTCTCACGTTTTTCCAAAGCTCTGTTTGTTTGTTTCACAGCAGTCCCTTGGTCCCCTCCTGCTTTACTAGGAAAATGGAAGTGTTAAGAAAGCAAGCACGCGTTCCATCAGCAACATGGCCTGTGATTCTTTCTGAAATTCCCCAACAGCCTGCCCTGTTATGGGCTTCTTCTGGTTCCAGGAAGAGGTTTACTTAACACGTTACAGGGATGTTCTGTCTAGCTTTCCAACTTTTTCACTCTTCAATAAGTGGCTTTAAGTCTTATTTCTTCTTCCATTTGGGAGTTTTGAAAAAAGCTGAGAAGAACAAGGAGCCTTCCTCCATTTGTTATAGACAGTATCTTCAGAATTTTGGGTGTATTTCTGGAATCTGAATGCCAATTTAATGCACACTGTTGCTCTAATTGATTACAATTTGCCTGGTGCTTTTGTAACTGGTGGAGTCCAAAATGCGCCTTTGCTCCATGTCAAAAGTAATTGACAAAGCATTATCACTTTTAGCATGAGAATGATGATCTTGTGCTGGAGGCTTCTTTTGAAAAGTGATTTATATTTTATCTGAATTTCTTGCTGTGCAGGATATGACTTCATATTACAAGCAACATCTTATCGACATTGACCGTCTGTTTTTTTACCAATCTATTTTCTGATCTTAAGTCCTGAAACATCAGTAGCTTTTGCAGAATTTTTGTAGATTATTTTGAATTGTAAATGCCCTTCCTCATGCAGAAGTATAACAGTGAATGAGGATGACATTGTTTGTGTTGTGAGGAGACTTTCATATTAACATATTTATCTCTGTCCTGTGGGGAAAAAGGGGGATTTATTCTAGTATTCTGCTCCTATTTGAAATTTTCAGTCTTGAAACATGAGGTTATATTGTACTTTATAAAAGAGTAATAACCCCAAACACCACAGACCCCTTTAAAATTTGAATTTCTTATGTTTGGAATTTGACACATTAAAACATTCCATCAGCTGTTTCCATATAAAATCCTGGATTTGTAAGTGCTTTCTGGCTCTTGAGCTGACTGAGATCCTGAGTCTAAGGAGCTCATAGACACAGTGGGCCTGTCTGAGCCACCTGGCTCCCCACAGCAGCTCCAGTTCAATGCCTACAAACTTCTGGCCAGTGTGCACAAAAGAGCAGTATTTTCCTTTCTCTCTGTTTTTTCTCTGCTCAGTCCTTCATCCAGCTCTATGAAGGCTGGGGAATGAGTGTAGAAAAAATGCATTGGTGAAATAAAGTGTGATCATGTAAGATACATATTGTATTGAGTGTCCCATTTCACCCTTTCCTGTCTTACCCACTGAATCGTTCCTTTGGATGGTAACAGCATCCCTAGCATGTATCTTTTCTATTATTGTGGGACTATAAGGAAAGTCTCAAATCTCCATGCTGGTTCTAGCTTCCTGTGAGTATCTTGGGATTTGCAAAAGTTGGAATAATGAAAAATAACTCTCATGCAGTATCCTTCTCCAACTAAGGAAATTTCTGTCACAAGGGAATTTTCTTCATCCATTAATAAACATGAAAAAAGGTAGCATTTGTTGCTGTAGTGTCCAAGACAGTAAGTTTTGATACTTAGAGTAACTGTAGTTCATTTGAAACTCAGATCTGTTCCATACTAAGCCCATATTTATCTTCAGATATATATGTACTCCTTTGTAGGAAGAATGGAATTACTAGGTTATTGATCCTTGTTAGTTTTTAAGAAAAATCAGCTGGTATTAATTGCCTTAAATAACATGAAAATTCCAGTTTACATGTTGTAATGAATAATGCCAAGTAGAATATTTTATGTGCAGATCTTTCACTTACCTCGTTTTGAACTTGCTGTACTTTTGAGTTGGTTCTATTCAAGGTAAGGGATCCAGTTCTCTTTGTGGGAGGATACCTTTATTATATAGACAATTTATTGTATTTCCCATGGTTGATATTTGAAATGCATTATGAGCTAGAAAGAAGTATATAAAATGAATGGTCCCCAAAATTAAATTTTCTTTACTCCAACAGAAAAGTGTCTTCAAGGATCAAATGGAGCTGATGTTACAAAATCACGTGTTTCCCTTGTTCATGTCTAACCTGGGATACCTCAGAGCTCGAGTAAGTTCACCTCTTACATCAATTCCAGTATTTGCCACAGTTCCTTCCTTTGCAGTTTGATTTCATTCTGAATGTTACTGAAAGAAATTAGGTAAATACATAGTAAAATTTGAAGTAATATTCTTGTGCTGTATTTTTTCATAATTTTGTTTTAAAAAAATGATTTTTCAGTTGAAGGAATTGATGGCGTGTCTGTGTTGTATTAATGTTCACCTCTTCAATCAAACTTGAGAATTTGAGCAGCAATTGTAGCCATTTTTCATTAGCAGAGATGGCTGTGAAGAATAGGCAGGATTTCCACAAGTAGGTAATATCAATTTGGGTGTTGCTTGAAGAAAATCCCCAAGTGCTGATATCAGTCATAGACAAACAGTTTTCATTGTTTTTTTCTGATTTTATTTCCCAGAAGGACCAAAGCAATGAATGCAAATTATGTGCACACTGAGTTTATTGGAATTTAGGAAAATATAATGAAGAACAGCTTGAGTGCAATACCTGTGTTACATTTAATGAAAGAATACACCATAATTAAGTGGGGGGAAAAAAGCAGTGCATGCAAACAGGGAGATAGTTAGCATTGGTTCTGACTCAGTTAAAAATGCTTAAAATTGCCATAGTCCCTAACTTGCTTCTCTTTTTGCCTTGCAGTCCTGTTGGGTACTTCATTCATTTAGTGCTTTGAAATTTCACAATGAGCTAAACTTGAGGAATGCAGTAGAGCTGGCAAAGAAGAGCCTGATTGATGATAAGGAGATGCCTGTCAAAGTAGAAGCAGCCATAGCCCTTCAGACCTTAATAAGCAACCAAGAGCAAGGTATGTGACAGTGATTCATCAGCTGTGTACACTGATCTATTGATTTTTTTGTCAAGACAAGGAGGTTGGTGCAGATTTATCTAATCATTTCTGTCATTTGAAGACATAGATTTCAGAATATTTTATCATGTTTAGACAGATTCACTTGCTCATTACATCCCAGAATTCTGACTTGAAGTTGTTATGATGCAAAAGAAGTTAGAATCAGCATGTTTTAATAAAGTAAATATCACCCATCTTTGTTTTTTTTTTTGTGAACTTCAGCAGTGTGTATGCTGAACACTGCTTTATGTGTGAGAGCAAGTGTTCCCTCAAAAGTGGATTTTAGCTGTAGGTGGCATTTCAATATTACACAATTTATTTACTCTGTCTACTAGTTATGGACTGTAAAATTGCCTTGGGTATGTTTTTTGGCTTTTTTATTTCTTTAGTGAATTCAAATTTAAAAAACTTATTTTGTTCAAGAGTAGTCAGCTGCCTGGCAGTTTGGAGATGTTGTATATTTGTGTTTATGGATAGCTGATTTCACGTGGTTTCTATTCATCTTTTAGCCAAGGAGTATGTGAAGCCTTATGTAAGGCCAGTGATGCAGGAGCTCCTGCACATTGTCAGGGAGACAGAAAACGATGATCTCACAAATGTAATCCAGAAGATGATCTATGAGTACAGCCAGGAAGTTGCTACTATCGCTGTGGACATGACTCAACACCTGGTGAGAGCAATAGTAAATGACCAGTCCAGTCAGAAGCACCTGCCTAGCTTGGTGAACACTTAATGAACTCTGCTTGAAGTACACACTGTTTAAAGTAATCTTTACAAGAGTCCACCTGTAGTATTTGCAGTATTTGTGGTTTTTTTTTCTCTATGAAGCATCCTGAAAACCTATAGATTTTTCATAGACACTGATTTGTGTCACTGGTTTTAATGAGCCACAGTCTAACTATTTAGCATTTCAAATGACTTAACGTAGACTTCTGGAAAAAAGAGGAGATTTTAATTTGCTATGTTCCCCTTTCAAAAGCAGCAAGCATATTTTTCAATGCTGACAGCTCTTATAGATAAGACCTTGCTGCTGCTGCATTAACTGCCTTGCTTTTGAATGACAAATTAGAAACATGGGTTTGCTCTTGAATGTCAAGTTGGTTGGTTTTGTTCACAGGCTGAAATATTTGGTAAAGTACTTCAGAGTGAGGAATATGAGGAAGTAGAGGACAAAACGGTTATGGCCATGGGCATCTTGCACACAATTGACACAATCCTGACAGTTGTGGAAGATCACAAGGAGGTGAGATTTTCCTTGGTACTTTCCTGCTTTCATTCATGACAAAAAGCACTTCTGTGAATGTTGCATCACTTGGCATGAACGTGCATTTACTCCAGTGGGATGGTACCACGCCATCTCTGACAGATTTGAATCTAAAGCCCAGTTTACTTTTGTGATTTATTAATTGTTTAGCTTTCAGCTTCAGGGGAATTTATGTCCCAAGGGTAAAATTCTTAGCCCTTACTTGATAAACACTTCGTTGGAATGTGCTGGTTTTGGTTGGGGTAGAATTTTCTTCACAGTGGCTAGTTGTATTACAGAGTGTTAAAGTAGAATTTAAAAAGAAATATTTTGCATAAGCCTAGTTTTTTACTAGTGATGACCTCTATCTTTATCACATATTCAGGTTAAAGAGGTTCTTTCTGCATCAGGGAGACCTCATTTCATAACATTATGATTGTTAATGCACCATTTCAAAAATAAAAACCTTTTTGATTTGAAGAACTTCTCAAACTGAATTAATCAAATCTATTTATTTGATTGCTGTATTTCTAATGTTTAAAATAAACTGCTTTGTGTTTTTATTGCAGATCACTCAACAGCTCGAGAGCATTTGTTTACAGATCATTGGCCTTGTTTTGCAGAAACATGTTATAGGTATGTTTTAGAGATATGTAAAAAAATGTAAATTAATTATTGTTATCTTCCAGAACAGAATTTCTTCTTTTTTTGTGTGTGTTTCTTTAAAGAATAAGTCATTACTTTACCATTGTAATTTTTTTCTCCTGATCTACTCTTGTACATTAGTCAGATTGGCTATTGTGTTTTGGAGGTCAAAAGCTGAAGATGCTGTTCTGATTATAATTCTGGCTAATGTGTTAAAGGACAATGTCTAAATTACATTAGTCTCCTATAGACATGGTCTGCAATTAAATTACTTCTTCATCAGTATGCTGCACTAAAAGTTACGATAAAACTTTTGTGATAAGGCCTTTCAGAAAAAACAAAGACTGAGGCAAAAATATATTTTCAGTAAATCAGTTAGAAGCATTGTCTTTAATGTGCTGCTGATGTATTTTTTTGGTGTGTAGTTATAGGGGAAAACTGCATATCATTGTAACTATAGCCAACACAAGGCCTGTCTGAAAGAGTCTTTTACAATTTATTTTTCTATGTATGATTTAGTTTCTAATTGCTGTCTTCTAGTTGTTACATGACTCAGGACTCAGTCTCAGATTTCAAGGTATTTGCAAGTTAAATGTTTTTGTAAAGCACCCTGCTTCAAATTGTCTTTTGCAGAGTTTTATGAAGAAATTCTGTCCTTGGCCTTCAGTTTAACATGCCAGATGATTTCGCCTCAGATGTGGCAGCTTTTAGGTGTTCTGTACGAGGTTTTCCAGCAGGATTGCTTTGAATACTTTGCAGGTAAAGTCACTTCTACTGATATTTTTACTGTTTGAGAATTCATCTCTAGCAGATAAGGGTCGCTTCCATTTAGTGTCGTGGTTTAAAATGATCATGTATTTGAGTCATGCCCTGCCCATCTGTTCAGTGTGGGTGCGTAACAGGAGATATTTAAGTCGGAGAAGCATGTTCAAATCTGTCAGTGTGATCAGTTCTTGTAGGGGTCCGGAACTCAAAGTTGAATATTCAAAGTTAATGTGAGACTACAAACTGATTAATTAAAATGGAGTCCTACTCTAGTTCCAAGAATGCACCCTGCATAGTGCATTTTATGAAGAATTCTTCTAGAAAAGATGTTCGCAGAGTTTGAGTTTCCAACCCTATTTAAAAACATCAGCTAATGAATTCCCCTTTAGGACTACCTCTCTGGTTAGCACTTTTTGTAACTTTTTTCTCTTTTGCTCTCCCTGTTCTGCAGATATGATGCCTCTCTTGCATAATTATGTGACCATTGACACTGATACTTTACTGTCTAACCCAAAGCATTTAGAAATCATTTACTCTATGTGTAAAAAGGTAAGGCTTCTGATTCTTGCTGCTGTTCTTATCATTGGTACATAACAATTAGAGGAGCTGAGTGACCTGAACATGCCACGTGGTTGCCAAGCATTTCAGAATTATGGGAATTTTGGTCTTGACTCATTTCTGGGCACACACAGCACTTTCACACTTTTTAAGTGACATGCTTTAAGAAAATTACATGCAAAAAGCTGTGTGGGAGAAAGTTGCTGTTTGTCTTGACTCTCTTCCATGGAGAGCTATTTTGGTAGGTAGGGAATTAATGAAGCTTGATTTCCTTGGGTTGTGTATCTTGCAGTTGGACTCTGGTTGTCAGCTAAGGTGCGAACTCATTTGAAGTTCTTCCTACATTTATCTTGTTTCTCTTTCATGCTGAGTCTCTCATGTATAATAAAGTATGAGATCATGCTACAGTCCTCCTCTGATTTGGGGCACTAAGAGAGTGTTAGGCATCTAGCTACCTGCTTATTTTTAAAAAAAAACTTGGAGTATTTATTTGATTGTGAAAATTTTGCTTCTTTTGCCAGGTTTGATTGACAGTGACCATGGGTTTGAAATGTATTGAGATGAAGCACTCAGTTTAATATGTATATGCCTACACACAGAATGATTGCATACATCTTGTTCCTAATCAGGAACTAGCCTAGACATAGCACTTTGCCACACTGTTAATCTGCCAGTGACTATTAGAATTGAAGTGGGAAAATGGAAACACCATGTGGAAAACATCAGTGATTCTCATAAGTGACATTTCTTTTTAAAAATGGGAAAGTGACGACATATAAATAAAATAACATACTTTAAGAACTACAGTAATTTCTTCTAGTTTTTAAAATTCACCTTTAGCCACTTATCCTTGTTTATGTCCTGTAGAGGTGAATTATGTGTCTTAATTCCTCAGAAAATTTAACAGGGATACATACGTATATGCTGTGTAGAGATTTTTGGATGTATGCAGGTACAGGAGCACTTGCTTTCAGTGTTGTCAGTGATTACTAATAAATTGTTACTCTGATTGTTAGGTACTGACAGGAGATGCAGGAGAAGATGCAGAGTGCCATGCAGCCAAACTCCTAGAAGTGATTGTTCTTCAGTGCAAAGGACGGGGTATTGACCAGGTGATACATATTGAACAGGTTTTCTCTTTTATTGCTTCTAATGATCCATGACTCCTGAGAGAAACAGCTGCAATTAGAGAATTTGAGGGAAATATACAGTGGGGAGAAAGACAGAAAGAAGTAAATGAACTCAGGAAAGTTTGTAAGGTTGGGATTTTTTGGTTTTGAGACAAGATGTTAGTGGGCATGACCACAAAATGGATATAGACTGAATTATAAGGATATAGCATGTTGTGCAAGATTGTAGTTTTTTGCTTTCTCTTAATAGAATTTCCCTTTTGATGCAAAACACATAGTTTAAACTACTGTGGCTGAGAGGTTAACTGTACATATCCAACTGCTGTTGTTTCGCCAAGCTATGGGAACTTTTTGATGTTATAAATTACTAAGTGCATTTGGAAATGCAGATTTTTTAGCATGGCTTGATTGTGATTGCAGGGAGAAACAAAATCACAATTTTTCAGAGTTTCTTAGAGCACCATTTTAGAAAGTAGTCTTTTTCCTATTAAGGGCCAAATTCTGGACTCATATAATGAGCCTAAATCACCTTGATGGATCATGTTTGATGTTGCCACAGTGCAATCCATGGATTTCAGTGATAAATTTTCAGTTAATTTCACTGAAAGTGGTATAACTTCACTAGTATAAATCTGAAGTAATTGAAGATAAAAATGTTCTCTGAAAGATTTGATTTTTAAAGGAAATCTAGAAGAGTTTAAAGTGACTTCAATGTATTTGCATTGAAATAAATATGTGGTGGAAGGCTTAATTGAGCTGTACAACTCTGTGAATTAAAATGGTTGCATACTGAACTGAAACTCATAAACTAAAACTTTCGTAATGCTTCCCAAATTTTTGTAAAGTATAAATTTGCCCATTGAAATATATATGTGTATTTGGAAGATGCTTATTTCATTGTTTAAAAATTTGTGCATGTTTGCGTTTATCTGAATAAACTCATTTTAAACTTCTATAAAAAAATTTATATCGCTTTACATTTATTAGGAAAAATTTCTAACTATGTTACGAATTTAGGTAGTTTAATTTCTAATGCCTGTTAGTTTTGAAATAGTTTAGCATCTTTCTTCAAAGATGAGAATGTCTTTTTTCTAAATCTTTTCCACATGCTAGAACAAGCTCCACCAAATGGCCCCATATATTCTCCCCTGTGCTCAGAATAATACTGCAGTTTTTAGCTCACAGAAGATCTGTTTTGGGGAAGATTTATAAGCGTGTGATCGGAGGCTAGAAAGTGAAAGGAATTTGTTCCTTTCTTCTATACCTGAACTTCAGATAAATCAGGACATAATTCTGGTAAAAGTATTACAACATTTTGTATAATCTGGCAACATGTTTAATGACTGTTTTCTTTTTTTTTTCATTTCCTTTTCTTTTTGTCTTCTTTTATGCCCAGTGTATTCCCCTCTTTGTGGAGGCTGTTCTGGAGCGCTTGACTCGAGGAGTTAAAACAAGTGAGCTCCGTACCATGTGTCTTCAGGTTGCCATAGCTGCACTCTACTACAATCCTGACCTACTTTTGCACACCTTGGAGAACATCAGATTTCCACACAATCCTGAGCCCATCACTGCACAGTTCATAAACCAGTGGATGAATGACACAGACTGTTTTTTTGGGCAAGTACTGAGAGGTTTTTTTTTGCAATATTTGATATTGACCAGCTGGTTTTCAACAATGGGAGAAACAACAATCACTCTTGAAAACTTTTAAAAGTTTAGTAAGGGATAAAAGGGACAATATCCAGCACTGGGGTGCTTGGCAATCTGCCAAAAGCACAATGTTAGCTTAAAACAATATTCTCTATATACTGTTATGTTACAGGGGTCCATGCATATTCATGGAAGTTTATACATATTCAAAAATTCCTTTGAGTTTACATGTTCTAGGAACTCTTTTGCTTGGTTTTAACCTTTGACTTGTCTGCATGCCATCTTGTAGACTAAATCAATATATTTTAATTCTTCTTGAGGCTCCATTCTGTTGTTTTGACACTTCTTAATAATTGGAGAGTCAGTATTAAGTCTTTTTCTCTTGGTGTCCTGGTTCTTGTCACTGTTATCATTCAGATAAGATGGTCCACAAATGTGAGAAACAGCCTAGCTATTTCACACCATTGTCTGGGCTAGTTACACAAATAAAAGCATTTTAATACATCACTCAGTTTTCCTTTTAATATTATGGTAAGGCCTAAGATATATTATATATTTATATAAGCTGTATGGTACATACATAAACTGACAGGTTATGTTATACCAAAAAGGAGTTAAAAGGGGTTACAAATTGTATTATATCAGAATCTTTGTGATCAATAATAGCTTGCAAAAGCTTATACATAGATGTGAAAGTCAGCAACTATATTTATCATTTATAATAAACAACATGCTAACTTTTTATCTGAAACACTGTGTACATACTTTCTCTTCTGTATTTTGTAAGTTATTTTTAACTGCTCCATTTAATTAAAAAAAAAAAACTTTTTGCAGTGAACCCCACTTCTGATTTTAAATGAATTTTCACAATCAACTTGCATATTTATCATTGCGTCATTGACTTCTTAGCATACTGCTGAACTTAAACATCACTGTGACCTCCCTTGAATGTGTGTGTGCTGCACTGGTGTGCATTCAGGCAGGAGCTGAGCATTTGTAAAGTTAATGAAGGGGAGCAAAGCCTGTCATCACCTAGCAAAGCTTGCACTGGATGTTGAGCAGAGGTGAAGGCCAGTGCTTGCCTCTCAGCTGAGATGTGATGTCTTAACTGTGAGATTCAAATCCACTTAAGGGCAAAGCAGACAAATGTAGTTAACAGGTACCTCTCACCTTCCTGCTAGAGTTTTGTTTTGTTACTGGAGACTGACATCTGCCTGCAGATGTATGGATAGGCTTAGATGGATGTCTTCCTTAAGTTGCTTCTTCCATACCTTGTGGTAGTATTATTGTTAATTGCCAAATTATTTTTATATCTACCAGCTTTACAAAAGGGCAAGACATTTTAGGATTTCCGTGTACCAATTTTCTTTTATGGCTGAAGCACAGTTCTTGAGTTTCATCTCTCGGTACTTTCATTTTTTTCTACTACATATCACATGCTGAGCAAATACAGAGACGGTAGGAAAGAAGATATTCCTAACAGATGGTAAACTGGAAGAGATTTATAGTCTGAAACAGTTCATCCTGGATCATTCAGTGAGAAGCTAGTCAGATTCAGAGAGGAAAAATGTTAGGGTCTGACTAGGCTCCAATCTCATATAGTACTGTGAACTACAGCTAAATTTTCAGTTCTTCTGTGTTGCTCTTCAAAAAGCATCAGCTACTGAAACTAAAACTCGTATTTGGAGCTGAGACAAAGGTTAACAAAGCCTGTGAAAGTGAAAAGTTAAACACGCGGTTGTCATGCCTGTCATTCTACCCAGACTGCACTTGAATGGCAGCAGAGGGTTAGAAGTCTCTCTTTGATCTGCTGCTACCAGCAGAGAAATAATTATCTGTAATATTGCTTAAATCTAGAAGTCACTCTTCCTTCTGTGCCATCTCCTCACTTTGTGGCTTCCAGGTGTAGGGTAGGGCTTTTGCTGTAGTACTGCTGGTGAGGCACTGTGATGTGCTGTAAGGGACTTCCTCCCTTTCCCTCAGGAGAGCACTGCTTCTAGCAGATCATTTATTTTCTTAGGAGTACTAAAGGAGCCCCAGATTCAGAGGCCTAACTGAACAGGAAAAGACAGAAGTGAAAAAAAAATTTGGTGTTCTTGAAACCCTTTCTTGGGTCCCCCCCCACCCCCAACAAGTTCATGTCTTCATCAGAGAGCAGTGGGCACCTTTATTTGCACAGCCCTTTTTCTCATCAGCTGCCATTTGTTGCTTTGGTTTACACTTTGCTTAGTTTCCATTAAGAGGCAGTTTTAGGCCCAGATTCAAATCATTTGGTAAACTCACAGATTCTAAACAAGATCAAAGTAGATCCACCTCCAGATGTGAAGGTCCAGGTGAATCTTGCTATCATTTCTTTGTCAGCCATGCAGGAAATCTGGAATGTGGGGGTGACAGTGGCTGTTCAAGATGCCTTGTCCATATAAATCTCACACTCTTTATGTGGACACTCCATACCTGGAAGTGTTCAAGGTCAGGCTGGATGGGGTTTTGAGCAACCTGGTCTATTGGAAGGTGCCCCTGCCCATGGCAGAGGAGTTGAAACTAGATGACCTTTAGGGTCCCTTCCACCCCAAACCATTCTATGATTCTATGTCTTTCTTCTGTTCCTGTGAAGTCTTAGTCCCCATAGATTGTGCTCTGCCACCAGTAGGGTTGTGCATGGCTGCGCATGCTCAGGCTGGAGTGTTTGCCAAAAGAATGCAGTATTCCTGGAGCAGCACATGTAAACACATGAGATGGAATCCATGCAGGGAAAATGCAGGGAAAAAGCAGTTACAGCAAGATAAGTAGCTGTTCTTCCATGTTATTAAAACCATGGAAACTATTGGAAAAAGTGTTACAAAGTTGGCATATTAAAAATTAGCCAGGCAAGGAGAACCAGAATTCCTTGTAAGACTGTGCATATATTCAGTATGTCATAGTGGAAGTCACATATCTGTGGTTGTGTGCTGATAGTGCCTATATACCACATGATATTGCATATATTTCTGAATGCTTTCTGACATAACTTCACACTAGAAAGCTTTTTGCAGAAACATTTGCTCCTTACTACTTTCTACTGTTTTACTGACAGCTGAGTTGGGTGAAACATCTGCATGACTTACGCTTATTCTCATACTAAAACTTCTTCTGTGGTAACTAGGGTGAAAGGAAAATCTCACTTGCTTCAAAAAAAACCCCTCAGTAAGTGATTTTGGGTTTTTTGAAGCTGAATAGGGTTATATATTTGATAGGAGTTTGAGTAGTTAAAAATCCTAGGTTTCTCAGAGTTGTATATAAAAATCCCAGTCTTATGTTGGTTCCAACTTTGCAGCTAGAAGGAAATGGCTAATTATTTGCAGTTTGTCCAGGAACTGGATTCTCACAGTAAAAGGAAAGGCTTAACAATTTTTCTCTGAAATACTTTCAGCTTGGTTTAAAATACAAAAGATTTTAAAATCCTTTGTGCTGTATTACAGGAATACGTGTTAGCAAGAAGAGGTCCTGTAGATTATGAGGACCACACACAGCTTGTTAAAAATAGATGTGGCTTGGAGTCGTGCATTGCAGTGCTGGGTGCTGTGTGTTTAACACTCCAGGCTTGATAAACCATTGAGGAATAAGCAGAGTCCCTGATTGTTAGGGAGGGCTATTGTGTGCGTCTGAGCAAATAAGTACAGATCTCAAAGCACAAATTACTAAGGAGAATCATATCCAGGCTCCCTTGAGCAGATGGAAGGGTGCTGAAATAATGAACCTTTTGATAGCAACAGAATGGTCCTGAAGCCATTCTTTGTTATTATGAAAATATATAAAGCTCTATTTTGCTTGTTCAGTCCTTAATACTGCTGGTGTGTAGTAGAATACTGAACTTCAGGCAAGGCAGATGCTTTTCCTGCTGTTTCTCTCTGCTGGCAGGTGAAAGAAAAGTCCCCTTCTGGCTCAGGTTCACTAAAGGTGGCTCAATGCCTGAATTTCTGCTGTCCTGCAGGGCCTTCTAATAACATGCATATTCTGAAGACATGTGTTCATTCTTGCAACTTCTCTCTTTAGCAGCTTTAAAGTGGAGCATGACAAATATGCTGTGGGTTTTGGTCATTTGGCCTGCTTCCCAATGATGACTCCTTTTCAAACAGCAAAGCTTTGTTCTTGTACTTTGATTGCTGTCCCAAAATGATAATTTAATATGAAGCTAAGCCATTAATTACTAAGATTTTTTCTTACATTTTACTGTTTCATTTTGCAATTTGTGTTGCGTAATGGTAGCTTTTTCAAATGTATGACAAAAAGTAGTGCTAAGGGTTGTTAGTTTACTCTGGTGCATGTGGCTGAAATTGCTTCTTTTTGCATTTGGGTCTTGAAGAAATTTCGTGGCTTCCCAGTGTCAAGATGCAGGATAGAAATCTTGTGCATAGATTAGAGAGCTTTGGTCACACTTGGATGACGGTGCTGACAAAAAGAGGAAGTAGTGAAAGCTTTTCCTATTTGTACTTGCACTGAGGATAACTCTCCAAATAACAGCTATCCTTCATTTATAGTTAGCATTATCTTTAGCTTGGCTTCTGGCCTGCAAAATGTTGGCTTGAGAGCGAACAGCTTGTTTTTAACGTGCAGGAGTAAGTTATTTCTGCTGAGAGGAGTAAGGGATTTATGGCTTTTTTTTCATGAAAGCAGACCCTGTTCCTCTATCTCAGTGTCCCTGGTTTGTATGCCCTCTTTTGTGACCGATGCCATCTGAAAAGAGAGGATTATGGTTACAGGAACGCTGCGTTCCTGCTTGCGCTTTAGTGTGTTTTTCAACACGTGTAACCAAGCAGCCAAACCCAGTGTGACAAAGTGTGTCATTTGATATGCTGCTTGACTTTGTTGTTCTTGGAAGGTCTACTGGGATCATAATGTTCTGCATGGTCATATATAATTTATTTTTGTTGTCAACTACTCTTGAGAATGAATCACTTCAGTAAATCCTAACAGGACTAACAACATGGGAGGTGTAATGAAATCCCTCCAAATCTCTAACCTTGTTTATGCACAAGTAAAGTTTAGAAAGCTGCAATACAGGATCACTTGTGTTACTTAAAGGATATAATAGTTCAGTAGCATGTTATAGAGGAACTTAGGTAATTAAATACTAAGCACTGAAGCTGTATATCTTTAGTGATTTTTGAAGTGGTGGATTGAGCTGGTAGTCCCCCTGTTAGTTTTATTGCAGCCTGTGGTGCCCATTTTATTTCTTCTCTCTTAACGTGTGTTCTCTTCATTCCAAAGTAAAACCGGTTGAGTAATGCAAGTATATCCCAGGAGTTTAGAGGATGGCCATTTTCTCCCAGCTCTTGAGGTTTGCTTGATTTCTCTAGGTTTTGCTGCAGAAGGCTTGCACAGAAGCTGTCAACATAAAATTGAATAGTTCAAACAAAAAAGCTACTCTCAAGCTCATAATAGCAGAATACTGTAATGTTAGTAGTTGGATACTTCTGATGTTTCCAGTAAAGGAAAACCAGAGAGTATCTGCAGAGTCATTTAGAGATTTTTTTTTCCATCTTGTTTGCAGAAATTCCTGTTTCTGGAAGTGAAAATGAGTTCTTATGTTTAAGAGCATAGGTTCTCACCTAGTTTCCTGACTGTGGTCCCATAAAGATCTTTCTGCTACTAATTTAATTAATTTCTTTCCCTTCAATTGTCTTCAGTTTGTTTTACTGGAGGTCTACTCATTTGTAAGTTCCCAGTTTGAGTATACTGCCAGTTACTCTTGATAAGATGGAATTATTTCCCTGCTTTCAACAGAGTTAGCAATGTGTCTCAAGTTAGCATTAGAAATTGTATATTGAAATATGTATGAGACAGCTATTCTGATGGACTTCTCATAATTTAACTTCAGCTATCCCTGAGGCATTCCATAAATGCACCCTGAGATTCAATGCATTCCCGCTTATCATTGCTCATCACTAATAGTTTTTGCCAGTTTCCATTCCTGAAACAGTACTGCTATCAAAACCAAGGCAAATTAATTTTCCATCTTATTCAATAATGATAATGTGTATCAAATGCTTTATTAAAAACAAGATAGTCTACATAATTATTAAACAGTATTTATTTAGCATTACAAATTTTGCATTTGGTAATCAGAAAAAGTTGCTCCAGGAATTTGACCAGTGCTTGAAAGATGTTTAATTGTTCTTGGACAAGTACTTTCCAGTGGGAAACTTGCATTCAGAACAAAGAAAATAGTTTGTGTAGGATCTTTGAACATAGACTTTGAACATAGACTCTGAGACATTGTCTTCTGCCATGTCAAGCACCAGGATTTTAATGTTCTCTGTATATCCTTGCAGTGAAAATCTGGTTTTGTCTAACAATTGTGTCTTGTTTCAGACTCCATGACAGAAAGATGTGTATAATAGGACTGAGCATCCTAATGGAATTGCAGAACCGACCACCTGCAGTGGATGCTGTGGCTGCCCAGATTGTTCCTTCAATCCTCCTCCTCTTCTTGGGCTTAAAACAAGTTTGCGCCTCACGAGAGCTCACAGAACATGAGGATCAAGCAAAAGATGAAAAACACTTTGCAGAAGATAATGGTAAAATCTCCCCTTTTCACATTGTGGATTTTGTCTGGATTTAATTTAAAGGGGGTAAGAAATTGCAGTTCATTTTTAAGACTCATTAGTCTGCTGAAAATAGCTCGGCTTACTGGGCGCTTGAAATACCATCTTAGGAGTTGATTTTTTCTCCCAAAGTGTAATCAAAATGTTTCAAGGTGTAACAGCTAACATTTTGTGAAGGAGTAGTATTGGTTCAAGAGTAATTTGCAGGTGTACTCTTCTGGGTTGTGAATATACTGTCTTCTCACATAGGCTGCAGGAGTTTGCCAGGACTCCACTAGGCATATTCTTACTTCCTGGAAAGAAGCTGTTCCACTATCCAGAAAGGTCTTTGAAAGACCTTTTTGATTGAATTTTAAAGGAGGTCCTGGCTGGTCTTCTTTGTCCGAATGGAAGGTTGTTTGCAGAGTAGGGTTTGAGACAGCTGAGGTTCCTTGAGCACACAGGCCTCTAACCTCTGTGTCTGCCAGAAGAGAAAAAACATCAAAGAATGCCTTACAGAGGGAATTGAGGGGAGAGAATTATCCAAAGCATTGCAGGCAAATTTGTTTGACAAGCAGTAGATGTTTTGAGGTCTGAAAATTAGATTGGATGTAAGCAGATTATGTAATCCACTCACATTTCACCCATGATTGTTCTGTAATGGAATCACAGAATTCTTCTCAATACATAGGAATATAGTATGAAAACAGCACAGGAATGTCCAAATCTCTGTCCTGTGATTCAGTCCCTGCTTGCTGCTTCTATAGTCATCTTTATTCTTTCTAAACTGTTAACACAGGAAGAGTTGCAGGTTTGGAAATGAAGGTTTTGGTTTTTTAAAATCCTGATTATATATCAGAAATACTTTTCCTTAAGTAAGAAAAAGCATTTAGAATTGCAGGTTATAGTTGCAGTTCATTCAGGGGGTCATAGTTTCATAAGCAGAACGGAAGGTAACACCAACTTAACATGTTGGTTTATGTTGTTCAAATAAGGCAACACACAAGAAGAGAAGGCATACAGTTGGTCTACAGATGGATTTCTCATGATTTTATGTGCATTTGTGAATTCTATGCAAGTCTCTGTAATGTAAAAAGCAGAGTGATGGACCATTTCTTGGAAGATATTTCCTCAAAAATTTTGGACCCTATGATTGCACAATGACTGCATAAATGAAAGAAGAAAAAAGATGGCAGTTCCACATTCCTCAGGTCTGCGTAGAAACAAAAGTTTAACTGATCTTGAATGTAGGAATTGTTTTAACATTTAACATAAGACTATTAAAGATTTTGGGGAAGGGGTGTTAACAGATGGTCCCCTTTCCAGCCAAAATGTAGATTTACTAATTATTTTTAATTCATCTGTCATTGTTTCCTTGTAGTTTTAAACTTTGTTTTACAAAACATATCAATGGTTTTGCAGAAGAGATACCGAGTGATGAGGATGAGACAAATGAAGTGAGCCAGGCAATGCAAGAGAACCACAGTGGAGGAGGAGGTGGCAGTGCTGGAGGTGGAGAGGAAGAGGATGAAGACGATGATGATGATGATGACTGGGATGAAGATGCATTGGAGGAGACTGCTCTTGAAGGGTTCAGCACACCTCTTGACCTTGAAAATGGTGTTGATGAATACCAGTTTTTTACACAAGCACTTCTGAGTATGTGTTTGCTGGTTGGCAGAATGATATAACATGATGAAATCATGTTATAATTTGGAGATGTTTATAGTCATCACTGGGGAAAACCCTTTTCTTTGTTACAAGTAATGGTTTGGATTACTGAAATGATAAAATGTGATCTCGTTTTCTAATGTTAGTCCTCCAATTTTTTGGCTTACTAGTGCTGCAAAAAAAACAAATGGTAGCAAATAGAGCCAGAGATTAATTCTCTTCACATTCTCCCTCAGAATTTTTCAATCACAGCCTAAATAAGTGGGGCTCGGTCACTAGAGGGACTCGTATATAGAGAATATTTGTCACCTTCTTGATGTTAATGGAGAAATTATTTTCTTCCTTTCCTCTTTCACTAATCCTGTTGCTTTTAGTTTTCATATGAGTTTTAAATGAGAAGATTCAATTCACATTGTCCATGAGTAATGGCCACGTGGTTAATGTTCTGTTTCAGAAAGCAGAGGATGTAATTAAGTTCCCCAAAATGGATTGCCTCTATTAGAATGGGAATTTTGTGCAAAGAAAACCGACAGGAATACTGATCTTGTTTTGCAGTGCAGATTCTGTTTTAAAACCAGCCAGAATTTCTATGTGTTTCAGTTTGTTCCCCTGAAATGAACGTGTATGTAAGCTGATGGTCACTTTTCCTCCATTGCTGCCCTGACAGCGGTGCAGAGCCGGGATGCAGCCTGGTACCATTCCCTGACTGCGCCATTGAGTGAGGATCAGAAGAAACAACTGCAGGAGATCTACACATTAGCAGAGCACCGGAGAACTGCTGCAGGTGAGTCACTTCCCTGGGCCCCTTTCAGCTATTGCAGAGATGTTTTAACTGCTTCTAATCTGTAACAACCACCTCTGTGCTAATTAACGTTTTCTAGGAAGCGTGAACAGGATATCATGATTACATTATTCCTTGCCTGGAAGTGTGTGTTATTCAGAGTAAGTTTACTGTTGTTTCTAATTAATTGCCTTCTCTTTGACTTGTGCTGCTGGTTTTTTCAACATGGTTTGGCCTAGTTTTACACTTTACAATTTGACATTTGAAATGAAGAACAAATTAAGGCAATATCTATCTGCAGCCAGGCATTTGATGAAGATTACTATCAGTTATTATATGTATAACAGTTTTCTAACTTTTTAACTACTTATGTTGCCTTGCAGTTAGTGTGAGGTTTTAGATGTGTAGAAAGCTTGCATCATGGAAAATAAATTCAGATTTAATCAAAAAGAATAGTGTAGCATAGACTGATTTGGTAAAGGATTCATTTCTCAATTCTGTTGTAGAGGTGTGCACATTTATGCCCTCAGAGAAAACCTGAGTGTAATTTATTCCTGTCACTGCATTTAGGAAATTTTGACTCAGCTGAGAGTTTTTTCCATAACTTTGCATTCGTAGTTGAGCTGTATTGTCTCTGACAAAGCCGTTCTCTATAGACTATTTTTCATATCCTTTTTCTTTGAATTCTAGAGACTAAGACAATAGAACAACCAAGTGGCTACACATTTGACAACAAAGGACTGATTACAGCATTTAATTTTGCTGGAAATACTCCCGGTGGCAACTGAAGGATCGGCTACAAAGGTCAATGGGAAGGGTCTCATCATTACATTTTCTTGAAATCATCATGACTTCTGAGTGATAGGGGAGGGTAATTTAATGCTGCTGAAGGTTTTCTGGGAAATAGCAGTGTGCTTCCCCCACCAGAATGCTCTCTCTAACCAGCTACTGTAATGTACAAATTCTTGTGGTGTTTTTATAATTTGGTGGACTGAAAGGAAATGTTTGTCCTCAAGGAACCTGGATGACCGGGAGGGGCCAGGCTGCATCTGATTGAGTTGCACTTCTCAGGTTTTTGCTGTGCAGAATTGTTAGATTCATATGGATAACAGTGCCTTCTGTTGTACATGGATTGCCTGAACAAATGGATTTTGGAGTGCATTATAATTTTTTAAGTGTAAGGACATTTCTTGATACACTGTAAGCCTTGGTTCCATGTTTTCCAATCACCTGCTTTTTACTGCTCGGTTTAATTGTTTGTTGGTTGCATACAAATTGCTGGATTCAGAATATTAGCACACCGTCCCTATTTGGTGCAGACCAAATATGTACAGGGAGGTGTCTGTTGGAGTTGCAGAGCATACACTGGTTATGTCAAAGGGTCTTAACAAAACGGCAGATTTTCCCTTGATGCGGTAGTCTTAAATTATTTCTCTTAGCCATGAATTCAGTTTGCTTGAGTTTCAGTGGCTTGCTTGGCAGGTGGCTACCCTAAATCTACATCAGTATTAGCTCCTGCCTGGACAAGTGGTGTGGCCCTCTCATGTAGATGTTCTACATGACAGCTTATTTCTGCTATTATTGATGAATATTCAATTATATGTGGAATAATCTCTTCTGGTTTTTTTCATTCATTACCATTCCAGTGTAGGGCTGAATAATGTGGTACAAAATATTTGCAATATTTTATTTATTTTGATAGAAGAACAGCTTCAAACTTACTGTTACACTCTGTGATTGTATTTCTGGTCTGCATTGCAGTTGGTTATTCTTGTTCTATGTTGAAATTTCTGCTGACAGATTTTTTTCCTGAATTTTGAAGACTGGTTTCACCACTGGAGGTTTAGACTAGATATTAGGAAAAATTTCCTCATGGGAAAGATGGTCACACATTGGGACAGGTTGCCTAGGGAAGTGGGAAGAATCAACATCCCTGGAAGTGTTTAAGCAACACATAGATGTGGCACTTAGGGACAGGGTTTTGCAGTGAACAGGGGATTAACAGTTGTGCTTGATGACCTTAGAGGTCTTTTCCAGCCTAAAGGGTTCTATAGGACAAGGTGATTGTGGAGAAGTTCATTTAGAGAGGAAGTGATACCAGTACTAATTTGAATAGGTACCCCTCCTTTAGGCCTACTGGGATCTCAGTGGTGTAGCAAAAAGAAGCAGGGGTGCTTTAGAATTTGAACTTTGGATTGGAGATAAAATGTTTAGACCAGATTTTGTCTCTGTGTTAATTTCTTTATGATTTAAAAATATTCACCCATCAATTTTAAACACATACTAATAATCTACTTCTTTACAGCAGTGTCCCAAATAAAAAGTCAAAGCCTTTCCCATACTCCATCAAATTTTCCACAACTACAGTAAATTACAGACTGCTGGCTCTGTGCAGTGCTGAAGCTTTCATTTTGTTATTTTGGGTGAGTCTGATAAATCTGAAGCACTCTGTGCCTTGGCTTCTGGAAAAGGCCAGAGAATCTCTGCCTGTTCCTTCTGGAATTTTCCTAGCCTGGTAGCTGTGGGGCAGAATGTTCCCTATGCTTCCCTGTTTCCTGCACCTTTTTGTCAGACACTAAGGCTGTTTCTATGGTGCTGCTTCCTCTTTCTTTTTTTTTTGCCTTCCTTTCCCCAGCAGCTACAGAGTAAAGTTGGCCTGGTTCATGTAGGTTTTTGACTGATGCTGCTTAGTTAATAGCAACAGTGAAAATGTCTCATTTTTAGGCCTGTTGTACACATGGAGGTTGTGAGAATTCCAGGGTCTGTATTTCCAAAAGGGACAGGCTCTTTAAAGTCAAGCAGCATAGGGGCAGGATATCCTTTATTTTGAATGTCAGGTTATGAAAATTACAGGTCCTTGCTAATTTAGGCCTGGGGGTGCATTGACTGAGGCAGTAAGTGGGAAAACAATACATCCAGTTTGTTGGGGAGTTTATCAGAAACCACAGCATGTTTGAAATTATACACGAATTTAAGAGCTGGTTTTTGGAAGTTAAGGGCACTGGTGACTTCTCTCTTACCCGTTAATTGAAGTTAGGTATTATGCAGGTAAACTGTTTAAGCCCTTTATTACTTTATTAAAACAAACAAGATTGTCAAGTTGGGTTTCTTTCAAAATCCATACTGATGTGCAGAGTAGAAGATGGATTTATTTTTCTTCTGCTAATGAGGTTGCTTGCACAGTCACAGGCTAATATTTAGTAGTTGATGTGTTCCAGGTAAAATCTGCTTTTGCATAGCATCATCTTGGTGTCACTAAGCTGAAATATGGCTGCTCCCTAGTTCTGCTTCTTGTATACTTTTCAAATCAGCTGCCAAGAAAATTTCATCCAGATGTTTCACACAAGAGTTTAATCAGCATTGTGGAGTTGGGAATCTTTGTTGTCTTTTTTGCATTGGGGTCAGAGATGTCTGAGGGAATGGCATGTAAAAAGGTTAAATGCCTTTCCCTTCCCAGAAGATTCATGAGCAAATGTTTCTACTGGCAAAAGCAAATGTTAATTATTTTATTCCTTTTTTTTAAAAAAGGGTTTTCATCCAGAAAGATTTATTGGGCTCTGACCTCCATTTTAACATATGGTTCTCTTTTAACATGATAAATACCCATTTGTACATGATCATAAATAGGTTATGGATTTTAGGTGTTTCTTTCTGAGCTGTGTCTAGCTTTGTACTACATTAAAGGGAGAGTAACACAAATGTGCATTTACTGTCTCACTTCGAAGCTGAAGTAATCGTGGAGTATCAGATACCAGCACTGCCAACCAAGCATGATGTATTTGCCATTGGAAGGATAGAGAATGATGAATGTATTGCAAAATAAAACAAAGGCTGATAACTGGTGACTTATGTTGCCCCCTGGCCATAATCCCAAAGTATAAAGATGATCTGTGTGGGCACCACAGTGGCTTTACATAGGAAATTAGTGTTATGGGGGTTATGTCATAGCAAATGTGATTGCATAAGCTGCTTTTCCAGATAAAATTAACTGATCCTGAGTATTGAACTGCATATGCTGTTTTGTCACTTGTGAAAGGAAAATAAGAATCACCACATGTTTTAGCTGCCTCTTTTTGCTGTCTGTCTTTTAGCATGGAAGTACATTGCTTGCTTTCATTACAAAGCAGAATCTTTAATCACAATGGCCAGCTCCAGGAAGAGTGCAGAATATCAAGCTGAGGAAAAGGTTGAAAAAGCCCAAACCTCAACAATCCCCCAAAACCCACATGTGCACAATCTGACTGAAATGAATGTACTTTGGTAGTGTTAAGTCAAAATATTTAAAGAATGTCACACAAAATGATATTGTGAGATTCTTTGCTTTAGGGAAAAAGGCTGCCTGTGAGGTGTGAGGGAGCCATGAAATGCTCTGCTTTAGGACATACCCTTTGCCTGTGAAGTCCTGGCAGCTTGTGGCTCAGGATTCCATCATGCATTGTAGAGAAGAGATTGTAGGACAGTAGAGGATTTTTTTTTCCTTACTACAAAACCAGAGTCTGTCTTGAGATTGCCTTGAGCAAAAGGAATTTTAGACAATGTGAATGATTAACTGTCCTGTTTCCAGAATGCTTTCCTGTCTTTTTCGTTCCTCCTTTTCTTTTGTCAGCCACAGTGTTATTGGATATTTCAGGGAGTTTTCAAAAGACCTGAAAAGGTAAACCTTAAACAATTTTTATAAATTATTTTTCTTGAAGCAATTTATCAGTTGCGTTTCTTGCTGTAGAACAGCCTCTCGTTTGACATACACAGATGACACAGAACTTCAAAAGCCCCTCACTTGTGCCTGTGGTTTGATGAGCCTTTCTGTGATTTACTCCTTAATATGGGCACTTTGAAATCCCCATACCTTGTACTGAAATTTGCTCAAAGGATAGGCAAAAATGCACTATGTAATGGAGTATCCAGTCCTCATTCTGAGATATGCCCCAGTCAATCTTTTGTTAATATTTGGCAGTCTGGTGGTCAGTTCCTCAAGGATCTCTGTCTCTGATTGAGGACATTCTTCAAGTCCAAGAGCCTGTCTCTGCAGGTAGACAGAGAACCAATTTTCCCGCACTGCAGAAAAGCATACAGCAGGCATGGCTATGAACTTTTTGATCTTAGGTGTGAAAACAGCATTCTTTTCTCTGGGATATCAGGTCTTAACCCACGTGGGTGAGGTACAGTAGAGATGCATGTTCCCATTGTGTTTAAGGAAGCCAGCCACTATTCCAGATACCAGAAAGTCTCAGCATAAAACCATTTCGTAAAGGGGATGTGTGACGAGGCCAAGCTGCTTGCTTTGGACACCTCTTCCACTGCTACAACTTTTGTTAAACTAATCAGGGAAAACCAGTCTGGGAAAAATGAAAGAAAATTAAAGCAGTGCTTGGGCACTGGACAGGCTGAAACTTTCCTGGCCTGTGGATCTATTTCTGATACTCACTGCAAATACACACAGATATTCTTCAAACACAATATGCATCATCTGTATGGATATCAGTACCCTGACTGACAGCCATGCATGAGAGATGAAGACTTAATGTGATTTTTCTCTGGCAGAAATCAGATGCATCCCTTTAAAAAGTCTGGAAACTGCTTGTCCTGACTGATACGCAATCACCAACGTGAGACAATCAGTGGGATTACAATCTTTGTTAAAGATGATCAGCATACCTCCTAAAGGGCTACTGAAAGTGCTCTTTGTGTAGGAAGCTGGCAGATGAACTACTCTTGGACTAGAAGAGTTTTGGGGAACACCAATTCAGAGAGAATCTGCAGGCATATGTAGTTGTGATGAATTGGGAAAGGATCCATCTAAATTGAGGGGGTGCTTTTGATATGATCTGAGATCTGCAGCATTCCCTAAGTGACCTAGGTCTCCTAGAGCAGCATCCAAGAACTTTGTCCCATGCCTGCCTTTCAGAAGAGAATGTGCTTGGGCAGCCCCAAATTTGGTGCAGTGCTTTGAACTTGAGATCACAAAACAATTTTGATTACAATTTGTTCATAACAGAAAAATGAGGTGGAAGTGGTATATTAATGCTAGAATTCTCTTTGTAGGCTGTATAGAGGTTCACAGTTTAAGAGTTTGGCTCTGTTCATGGTGGGGTAGGAGTTGAAGTTCCAGATACATGGATTTCTCAAATGTGAATACAATAGCGTCAGCTGCAGGATTCACCTGAGAGTGTCGGTCAAGGGCTGCCTTCTGGACCATCCAGATTATGTCACATGAAGTGAAATGCAAAAACTGTGAAACTACTTGATAGTTAAAGCTGTTGAGCAACAAAAAAATTTATTGAAATGAGATTTTAATATTATTCTCAGGTATGTTTTAATTTTCATATTTTGTGCCCTTATACGAAATGTAAAATTACTGCATAACATAGAGGCCTATTCATGTCTCACAGAACTGTTTACCACTGAAGGTGTTTATTCAGGAATTGTTCCTCATTTTTAGGTATTTTCAACATGTTTATTAGTGAAGTTGCACATATCCACCTTTCACCACTTTTCATGCACAGAGATCTTGGAAATGAACTTAACAAAAGGAAGAACAGTGCTTTGAAAAGAGAAGATTATGCATAAGCAGGTTATTTTTAGAAAACAGAAGAACTATGGCTTCTGAAGAAAATATGAAACCGTAAATATTTATACAAAAGTGCATGAGGTAAAGAAATTAATGTAAGACAATATAAGCAAGACATGTTCTTTGATCACAGCTGTAGTGTTTCTTTTTCATTGCCAAACAGTGTGTGACACTTACTTTTGATTACATGTGTTGTTGGAATAACGCCTAACATAAATCACATGAAATGTTTTGGGGGCTCAAAAAGAGACCAAAGAGACCATGCACATTTCTTTTGATACTAAAAGCAAGGAGATGAGCCCAGGACTGCTGTGTCTGGAGGGAGCCTGCTATGTGCTACATTAGCAGATTGAATTGCAGGATCATCACCTTTGTAAAAAGCCTGAAATACTAAACTGAGCGTTGGCTTTGAGGGCAAGAACTGACAAATGCAAAGCATGCATTGATGACAAGAAGAACCTCTTCCTAGCTTAAAGAATTCTGCACAGTGTTCTCTTAAGCTGTGCTGAATTTGCTTTAAAAACAGTAATAAATCTTATTGCTTAGGTCGAATGTTACATCTGTTGTGCATTTATATGGGAAGAATAATATATTTCTTAAAAAAATGTAACATGCCACCTACCAAGGAGCCAAATCCCATTTTATAGCTGCTTTTCATACAGCTATAAAACTTCTTTGCTAGAACACGCGAGAATTAATTTTAAACAAATGTGTGTGCTATCCAGAGTTAATATGTGCATTTGTGTAGCAGTGTTTGTTAATCTCTGACCTGTGAAGGCAGCTGTTCACTTACACACGTTGGCTGTGAGAGAACATAACTGATGTTTGATGCAGAACACCCGAACGCAATTCTCAAAATATCAAACTAGTGAAGATAGTCATCTGCACCATAGCTTCAGCCAGTCTGCTGTGCATGCAATTCATAAAGAAGACACTGTTACCAGCCTTCCACAGGACAAGAAACGAATTTTTCAGGCAGGAACTGCAAGCCTGGTATTCATATCAGTGGAGTATTTCTCTGGTGGTGAGTTGCTGCTGTTTGTTAAATTGCATTGATTGATAATGCTTGCCCTTTACTGTATGGACCACTTCTGTGTGTCCTCCACAGTGTCTCTCTAAAAGCAGTCCTTAGTGGTCTGTGTTTTTGAACTAGGGAGGCTGAATTAGTGTAATTTGCCCAAAGCCATAGCAACGTGTTGCAGCTGGCATGAGAAATTAAAATTCTGGCTCTGTATAAGTGCCTGCGAGTTTTGCTATTGGTTCCAACGGAGCTAGGATTTTACCCATGCAATTTGCTAGGTCCTGGTGTTTGGATTGCTACTGATACCTTCCACACCACCTCTGCCAGAACATACTTAATTTATGACATTGCTCAGCAACAGCAGGTTCCACTATTGAACTGCAATTTTAATCTGTCTAGCAGTGACACTGTTTAATTGTATTTTATGTGGGTTGCTTGGTATGACAAGGTCTCCTGGAGAAAAAATGGTTCTCAGCAAGGTGATGAATGACATCCCAATTGCTAATTCCCCTTGAGGCTTTGAAGTCAATCTGATGGATTGGAAGCAGAATTCCAGATGACTGGCGGTATCATCTGTGCCATGTGTGAGGGTGCAGGTTGGGAAGCCCCTCTGAAGGTATTACCAAACATCCTGGATTGGTTGTGAGGTTGCAGGTTGTGATTGCCACTTCTAACAGGCTCTAAAGAGTGTATTTGTTACCCAGGTAAATATTTGTCTCCTATGCTGCCTCCTGCCCTCTAACAGTGTTGATATTTTTTGGACTGGAATCACATTCTTAACCTGAATTCTAACTCCCAGTCTCTTAAAATGGTAATTTGTTCCATTTGGTTCCCAGCAAGGATGAAATAGGATCAGCGTTTTCTTTCTCTTGTTACCAGGTATGTTAAATGAACAATTTAAATAATTTAAATACCTGTTTGATTAAATTACTGGGACTTTACCCAATGTCATACAGTTTCCTGCTGATTTTTTTTTTCCTGGCAGAGCTCAAGCTACATGGTATTGTGTGCACATCAGGAAAACTCTCCATAGTCACATAAATGAGATTCTGAGCAAAATACAGAGTATGGAAAGGTCATATCAGTATATGAATAATGGATTTTTTCCTTCTTTTATTAAATGCATTGGCCTTCTATCTCTCAGCTCCTTGTAGAGCAGAATGTGCAACTACAACAACTAAGGATACCTTTAGTGGTTTCTGTTAAATAGAAATAGTCCATACTTTCCTTTTTCCACAACATACCTTGCCTGCCCTGCGAGGTTGCTGTGCAGAGTGTGGTAATGGGGCCAAATGTCTGCACCTTTGTGTAGGGATTTGAGCACAGCCATGGGGCTGGCACTGGGCTCTCAGCAGCAGTTGTGGCTGAGCTCTGCAAGAGTTGTGTCCTCACAAGGAGTGCACATCCTGTGTCTCATTTTCCTCCAACCATAAGGATCTTCCTGGAGAATGCAGGGGGTTGAACAAAGCTGCAACAAGAATAATCGGAGAACGCCACAGTGCATCTGGCTGGGCGCTGAACTGAATCGGTTATCACCATCCTTTGCTATGTATAGACCACTCAGAAATGTGTCAGCATGAGGTGAGATAAACAGAGATATGGAGTCTAGTTCCTCATTGTGGCAAGGATCATAATTCTGCCAAACAAGAATCAACTCAGGGTGAACAGCGTGATTAGCTCTATTTCTATTACTGTTTTGAAGAAAAACTGACAAGGATCTGTCTGCACAATTGTGATGGAGGAAAAACAAAAAGCCAGCCTGGTCAAGAGAGAATCCATGTGCAAGAAATAGCCTAAACATTGATTTCACTGGAGCAGCAAGCGTGGAAATCACTACGAAGAAGAGCGACTATTCCAGATGTTCAGTTACAGAATATTTATCCCAATGCATTGTTAATCAAAAGGTTTACTGATTACATGAAGGTAGATCTAAGGTAAAGAGGTTGCAGATACTTTCCTATTGTGCTGCTCTGATCTGTAAGTACTTTGGAACCCAGGGCTGTCTGAGCCACCAGGCTGGAGGCTCTAAAGGAACTTTCCTGGCTGCCAAAGGTTGTTGTGTCAATAAGTGAGAATTCTGCACAGTCTCAGGCTGCCTCCATTAATGTGGTTCCTTCTTCTTAAGTCTGGTGAAGGCTCATTTGATGTTTTGTTTAATGGGATTTTCTGTTGGTCATTGATATTCTTCTAATAAAATACAGAAACCACTGTCACTGTGTGGCTGAAGTAGCAGTTGGTTTTGTTGCAAATCATTCCTGGCTGCCTGTCACAAAAGGAGTGCTTGTGTTAGTCTCTGTCTGCTCTGATTAGGCTTTGTTACCCTCTCACTTTGTTGTCTGTTCTGTAGCTTCACAATGCAGTGATCTTCCAGGCCATCAGGATGTTGTCTTAGATCTTCAGCTTCTGCTTTTTGTAAATACAAAATTTCCTCACTTCATTGTGATTCTGGATTTCTCTGTCCTCTTCTCACGTGTGCACCTCTTTGGGGTTTGTGACTGTGATCTGCTGAATTAGGAATCCTAACTGTGGAGTGGTGCTAGATTTTTCTGTCAATAGATATTCCCATAAAGCATGGATCATGAGATTCTCCTATTGTTCTCTTTCTTTCTTTAGATACAGTTTGATGTAAAATGTTTTCAAATAGATTTTGTGCATTTTTTTTCAGTGTTTCAGGATCAAATTACTGAATCAAGGCCCACATCCTTACATGATGAAATTCTGTAACTGTACTGCAGGTTGGGGAAGATACAGAAAACATAAGGCAAACACATCCAAGACTAACTATGACAAGAAAAAGAGAGTATTGCTTTGCTTAATATTTATATTTAAAATATCTCCATATTTTTGCTTTGTTCGTTTTGGGCAGGGAACATTTAATTTGCTTCTACTTTTTATTTGGGTATGGAGCTGTAGTTGACTTTTAACTCTGGATTTTACTTTATGATGGTATTGCTGCAGGAAAATATAGCACCAGCTACTTAATGTCACAGGATCTGTGCTAGTTTATTTTGTTGCCATTTTTGTGGCTTTCATCCAAGGTCGCTTGTGTCATGGGACACCTGAGTCCAAGATTTATTCTGCTGCAGGAGATTGCCTAGCAGTACACTAACAGTTCATAATCTAAAGAATTTTTGAAGCTATATTAAAGCACAGAAAAACATTTTATCCTTCTCTGAATGGTTTCTGTTTTACAACAAAACTTTGTACAATAACATTTTCTTAGTTTTCAAAAAATATCCTCCTTTTGGTTGAGGAAAAAATAGAGGGCAAAAATCAGCAACTGTGAACCTTTGAAGATGTACAGATGAGCACGAGGATATGGAATGCTAGTAGGTAGATAAGGAAAAAAAATAAGCACACTACCTAATTTTAGTCACCTAATTTAGTTAGGAGGCTTATCTTGTCAGATTTTTGTTAGGAGGGTGAGGGATAGCCAGAGTTGTGCTCCTAAGGCATCAGATGCTCAAAGTCATCCTCTGGCAAAGCCTGCTTCCTTCTCATAAAGCAACCTCAGGGAAGTGTGCCATCTGTGTTGGGTGGGGAATTCTGCTACTGTGAGTGCACCCCCGGTGGGTTTATTTTGAGGGGAAAGAGAAACCCTCAGAAGGTTTATAACCTATAGTAATTAAAGAAGAGAAATCTCCACATCTTATTTGCTGGTAGTATGCAAGTGGATAATCAGTTTTGCTGATGTTTGTGCATAGGAGAGATTCTGAAACATGACTAATTTGATGCATATGCTATGTCTTGCCATGGTAAATTAGAACCTTTCCATACCCAGGAGCTGAGCTGTAGCTCTTCTTGATTTAAAGTGTGTTATGTTGCTTTAATTGCACCATTTATCACGACTTTTTGGTGCTTTTTAATTTTACTTTTTACTGTGGATTCTCTAACCCAAGTAAATGATACAACAGCATTCGGGAAACTTGGAGGGCATTCAAGCCAGCACTTCATCAGCGCTCTGAAAGATAATCTATGAACACCAAAGTTGCAGGACCTTGAAAAAAGGCCATTGGCATGAAGAGCTTGGAACTCTGCGGGACAGAAGCACCTAAAGGTATGTAAGGTTCTGATTCTGAGTTACTGAAGGTGTTGAGCCCCTGGGCCGACGGTGTCCAGATTTGTCTTTTAGAATTAGGGGAAAGCCCTAAAGAAAGGAAACAGATCCCTTGAAGGAGTATGTTACAGAGGTGAATTTTCTGTCAATTTCTATTGCTATACTTCCTTGAAGACTTAGAACCAGAAGTTAGTTCACGTTAGAAGGGAGCTTAGGGAGGTCCTAGTCAACCTGCTGCTCAAAGCACAGCCAGCTCAGAGATCAGAAAAGATGGCTCAGAATTTTATCCAGCCAGTCCTTCTGCTCTTTCTGTAGGATGGGCAGGGGGAATTTGAGGGTAGCAGAATACCTTGGTTGGCCTGTGTAGGCAGAGATCATTAGGAGGGCAGGTGCTTGACTTGTTCAAAATGTGATAATGGCAATAATCTTGAATGAAGTGGTTCTACTTCCAGCAGAGGATAATTAGCTGTTGCATTTGAAAGGAAATGATCAGGAAAAGCAATAAGCATTAGGCAGGAGTCCCACTACCCTGCAGTTTCTAACTGGTAACCACAGCTCGCTTCAAGGAGTGTTGGCTTCAGTCACAAGGGTATGTCACTTTCTCAGAGCAGGCCAAAAGCTGAAGCGTGAACTGTAGATTTCTGTGGCATCACAAACTATAGAGCTGTGGGGGAAGGGAAGGTGTACAGGGAGAATCCACATGAGAAACCAGTGGCTGTTTGGACTGCCAAGTGTCAGCAGGTGTCTGGTACGTTCTGCTTGCTGAGGGAAGCAGGAGGCTTATTGTTCACAGGAGAAGTATCTCTCTGACAAAAGATCTAAGCATGGGAGAAACGGATGGAGGGACCTCCAAAGGATTCAAGGAGATGGGTTGTGACGCCCATGTTCTTTTCCAAGGAGACAGAACATATCAGTGGAGGAGAAAAGGCTAGACAGGGAAATACTGGCTTTTGAGGGTTGTGAAAGGTACCTGCTGGCATTTGCTTTTTGTTACTGTCAGGGAAAGCATAGGCATATTGCTGACCCTGAAACTGCTCAAAATGTAGCATAGAGATGCACAGGCAGCACAAGTGTGTCTTCCCAGTCTCCAGTTTCACTATCAGACTTCACTTTGCAATGATCCCTCCATGAGAGGTGCAGGTATATACTGAATATACTTATATAATTGGTATAAAGTTTATTTGTACCATGTATTGCCTCTCTATGGATGTACTGAAAAGCCAGATAGGAGAGACTGGGCTGTGGGAGGGTCTAGATAACAACGTGGCATTGAGGAAGAGGGGATACACAGGTACAGGCAAGTTTAGGGAGGGACGGAGGGAGGGAGAGGGACGGTGAGCGCGGGCACGGGTGGGCAGCGCGGGAGCAGCTGTGCCGCTGTCCGCGGTGCTGAGCGCGCCGTGCCGGGGCTGCCTCTGCCGTCTTCTGGCGTCTAAAAGGATGGGCTGCTCTATAATCTTCCTGCCTATAACATCTCTGTGTCATTTCGTAAATGGCGTGGCCCACTAGAACCCAGGGATTTTCACCATGGCAGGTAACTGAATATCTCCACCTAGAGCCACGTTTCCTATTTCCTCACAGAAAGCTGCTATTATGGAAATAACTGTCTGTTAAGCTGAGCACAGTGGGGTGTTCTCAGGAAGATGATTCTTCTGAACATGCCTGTGAAGTTCTGCTGAAAATGTCTACACCACAGCAAGGAGCAACTCGTCTTATACCGTCTCAGCACATCAGCTGACAGAGTTGCAAAACCTGAATCCTTAAAATCCTGACTGAACTGATGTAGCTAAGTGTTTGTATGCTCTTGATTACAATACTTGATTGCCTAGAACTGCTCACAGTATCTAAAAATATCTGATATATTCAAACTGTCAGCAACACATCTAGCATATAGTACTGAGTGCCACCCACTGGCTTGAAATATTTTTTTCACCATGTGCCTGACTTGCTACAGGAGCCAGAAAGCAGGAGAGAGACAGTCAGGAGTGACATTGAGAGAAAGAGTCTCCCTCATTATTTAACATGTTGAATTTGTTTAGAGTTCAAAGTTTTGTAGTACCGAAAGCTCTTTGTGAGGTGTGATTGTTTAAATGGGTGCAATCTCTCTGATGGTGTTGAAGTGCTGCTTTGAGTCCAGCAGTTCCTAGGAAAACTGATAGCAAAAGACAGTTCTATAGGTTTTATTACATACTTCTGTCATGGTGCTCCATGTTGGACTCAGCTGTACCATTCTATAGATCCATAGGATTTAGAGGTTTAAACTTTTTAGAATAAGATAGATTTATTTTTCACCTGAATGTGTCCTTGGCTTTCTTTTGACAGAGTATGTATGGCAGTCAGGCTCACAGTCTCAACACCCAGCATCACCCTGATTTCCTAGGCCAACTGAGCATCCAAGGAAAGAGTATGTGAAAGGAGAAGATCCTAGATCTCTAAACACATGCTTTCTGATGCTGTAACTTCTGTCAATCATCCTTTTGGCAAAAAAAAGCCCCATTATTAGTAGTCTAGGATGCTTTTCCCTGAAAAGCCATTGTTAGTAGTCTAGGACACTTTTCCCTTCTGTTCCTACGTTTGTCTTGCATTGGGTCCTGTTTCAGTTTAATTCAGGGAATGACAGAATGCCTTTATTCAGAATGGCAAAGCCTTGGCTCAATGTTGATTTGCAGCCTTTGATACACCATAGCTTTATTTCTGTGTGTGTTGTTCCTTGCACTTGCAGGAAGGAGGTGATGTTTCATCTACAACAATATTACTTTCAACATAAGGGCTTGTCCTCAGGAGTATTGTCAACATGGGATGTTTTTGTGTTATATATTAGATTTCATGTGATTCTAGAAATCTCTGCTTAATTTTTCCCACATGTTCAAGTAATGGCTGTACAAGGGAGGCTACTCATCTTGCCTGTGTCAAGCGAGAACTCATTTCAGCAGTTGATGTGCCATCACCCATTCTTTGCCTGCAGGACTCTGTTCTGCATAGGGAGAGTCAACCGGAGCGGAAAAGCTCCAAGAGTGGAGTACAGCCATTTATAAACCTCTGACAAAATGAAAACCATGTTTCCCTTTAAAAGTTGAGCCTGAGGATGCCTAATGTATAATTTTTCATCCTGTGATCTTCAAGAATGATGTACACGTGGTTTTTTGAGGTTT